GAGGAGAGGAGAGAATGTTTTATTTTGCTGATGCTTTTGTTTCCAAGTGACTCCAAACTGAAACTTTGTGGAACTGAAATTCTTTAATGTTCCTTCCTTTTACTCATGCCAAAAATACCACCATGAACATTTGTGCTTTGGGTTTAAAAGTTAATATTATGCCTTGCTTTTATCTAAAAGGTAAAAATATTTGCCTTTGAAAACAGGCTAGTACAAGAGCAAATAAGCTTTAAAAAAAGGGATGTTATCTGCTTTCCTCCATTTTTTATTCAGAATGATCTGTATAAGTGGGAACAATTCAGTTCTAAATAAACTTTGTCATACCATTGTCATGAACCCCTGTCAAAGCCATTTTCTGTTTGTTTAATGGAAAAGGCATGTGGGATATATACAGATTCACTTGTGTTGAATTGGGGGTTTTGTGTAAATTTTCTCAAATAAATGCTAGCAGAAACCATTTTAGGTGTATATTTTTTCTGTTACTTTTGAATACCTCTTTGGATTAACAATAATTCCTCCATATTCCTTAGTTTTAAAGTATAGCAAATTACACCTGATAAGAGAAAAAATAATGTTCTTAATTTACTTCATAGTTTAGATGAGCTAGTAAAATTTTGTTATATAACTTATATAAAAATCATATGTATATAATGTAAGTCATGTATAAACTAATAATCCTTAAATATATATGCATGTATGTATATGTGTGTACATAGTTGCATATGTTTTTATATATGCATATATATGTTTTCAGAAAGACCAGATGTAAGCCAGACATTCTCTGTACCTTCTTTTTTGGAAATTGCTGTTGGAATTACCCTCTAGGGAGGCTTCTTCCTTGTCTTTATTCCTGAAATATCTCACCCAATTTAGAACCCCCTGGGACTTGCTTTTTTGGCCCATCATGTCTATGTAAACTCCCACTACAGGAGGCAAAGGCTGTTTGTCTCCTTTGCTTTCACTTGACAGTTCATTGATTTTTGTTTGTTTGTTTTTCCATAAACCTTTTTTACAAGAGCCAACAAAAAGTGCTTTGTACATTCACTTACCTCTTATTTATCCTTTACCTCCATTCTTCCAAAAACCAGACAAAATTTATTAGTGGCACCATAATCTACTATGAGTCCAGTTTAATAGTGGTTCCCAGTATTTAGGTATAAATATTTTAACATCAGGGCTGGGGATGTGGCTCAAGCGGTAGCGCGCTCACCTGGCATACGTGCGGCCTGGGTTCGATCCTCAGCACCACATACAAACAAAGATGTTGTGCCCACCGAAAACTAAAAAATAAGTATTAAAAAAATATATTTTAACATCAAAAATGTTTTGTTTCTAAAAAAAAAGTTTTGTTTCTTACTGATATTTTAGAGAACATGAATTATAAATGAATTCAGCAAAACTTACAAATGAATTTAATAGTATCAGTAGTATTATATACTTGCCATATGGTAATACATATTTTGTAAATTATTGATTCCGTCTACTACATTGGTGTCCTATATGTGAGTCACATGTATAATTTAAAATTTCCTAGCTATATTAAAAAAGCGAAAAGAAATAGGTAAATTTATTATTTAAATTTAACTGTTGAGAATGTTATTATGTTTTATAACATACAGTCATCTAAAAAAAATGATTAAAGTAGTTTATATTGCTTTTCACGTAAAGTCTTTGAAACCCAGTGTGTGTTTTACAACTACAGCACATCTCCATTCAGAGGAGCCACAATTCAAGTTTTTAGTAGATGGAGCTAGCAACTGCTTTAGCATACATGCAGTATAGGTTTATACCTTGCTTGGTCTTTGGTGGATTCTTTAATCTTTAGAGTAACACTGTTGCTTCTTGAAGTCCGCCATCCACAAATTGGGTAACTTCAGCAATACATGATAACTATTCGTTTGTTAAAATATGAAAATAGTCTGTTTTGACCAAGAAACACCTTCCAATCAATTACACTTTAATTACAAATGTTGCATGTTTCTGGATTTAATATTCAAAGTCAGCTGGTTAGTTTCAGTTATATCCAGTATAATGAAGAATTTGGCATGACTGTGTTCTGTATGCAACAGGACATTTTTCTCTTAAGCTTATGATATCTAAGCTTAAGAATAGTTCACAATTGTGAACTAGAATAGTTCACAATTTTAGGCCAGTTAATTATAGAAAAACTATTTCCTCATTGGAAAGGTGCTAGGGATATTCACCCAAAGGTGCTCAACCACTGGGCCCACGTCCCCATCCCTTTTTTTATTTGAGACAGGGTCTCAATAAGTTGTTTAGGGCCTGGCTAAATTGCTAAAGCTGGCTTTGAATTTGGGACCCTTCTGCCTCAACCTCTTGAGCCACTGGGATTCCAGGCGCATACCACCACTCCTGGTTTGGAAAAATGAATTTTTAAGTTGTGGCTAAAATCTACTGAATTTCTCAGAATGAAAGTCAACACTTCTGATTTTAATTATTTTTTTCTATTCTTTCAGCCTCCCCCTCAAAAAAAAAAAAAAAAATGAACACCTAGTCTGTTAAACAAAATTAATAGATTAACAGAATTAACAGTTAAGCCAAGCTATAGAGTATATATAAATCCGGTTAAATGAGAGTTATGTCTATCTTCAAAGTGCCTTCCAATAGAAATATGAAATGGTATCTAACTAAAACGATCTCCCTACTTTGCTTAGCTAATCTCTGACTTAATGCTTTGACTGTTCCTCCAGGAAGCCTTCACACACCGAGTAAATTTGGCTTGGGAAGATGCCTCTCCAAAATACCTTTCTAGAATGTTGTATTTTTATAGCATTTATGCAAACTGTTGTGATTGCCTGGTTATTTTCTGCATAGGGACTAGATGCTCCATGAGAAAAAAACTGTATTTTTTTCTGTGTGATTTCCCAGAAGCTGGCACATATTTGTTAAATGAATTAGTTGAAATAAAAAATACTTGTAAAATCTAGATCCCTGAGATGAAACCAACAAAACTAATGAGTTATCAGTCAAGGAGTCTTACATTTTGGTTTTTAAAAAATGTTTCATACGGACTGGGGCCATAGCTCAGTGGTAGAGTGCTTGCCTCACAGGTGTGAGGCCCTGGGTTCAATCCTCAGCAATCAATCAATCAATCAATCAATCAATCGAGATATTGTGTCTATCTACAACTAAAAAAAAATTTTAAATGTTACATACATATGGGATAATAATCTGATATTTATTCAACAAGTAATTTTTGAGCCTCTATTACAATGCCAAGCACTTTTCTAGGCACTGATTATATACATATATAGTCTTGAACAAGAGAGCAAAATCCAGGTTCTCGTGGAGCTTATAGTCCAATGAGTGGAGATAATAAACAAGACATCAGCATTTTATAGGTAAGCATTCTGAAAAAAATAAGAAGGAGTGATGTCATAAAGTATGATGGCTGTGTTACATTTACTTTACCAATAATATCCCAACTGATAAAGATTTCTTAAATCTAAACCTTCTCTTCACTCACTGATACTATCTCAGAACCTGTTCTTAGAATATACATTGCCTTGTAACTTGTCTGTTTGCCTCCAGTTTTCATCCTCTGCATGTTCATCATTTGGGTCTAATCCAATCCAAGGTGCCCATAGTTAGTATCTGAGCTGGATGTTCATGCAAAAGAAGGCTTTATTACCCCTGTAATCTCAGCTACTCTGGAGGCTAAGGCAGGAAGATTGTAAATTCAAGGTCAATTTAGAACCTATCTTGAAATAAAAAAGGCTGGGGTATGTAGCTCAGTGTTAGAGCACTTGCTTAGCCTGTATGAGCCTGTGGTCCAATCCCTAGCATCACAACAAAAAAGCTTTATTCATTATGCTGGGGGAAAGATTACATAAATAGGGACTTCCCCAGAAAAGTTAGATATATGGTTACTAGTCATCTGCTTAAGAATATCCAATAATTTCCCATAGGAAACCCCAAACTCTGAGAAGAGATTGTATCTTCTATCTCACATGCACTCTGGATTCAAGCCACATGACCTCTTAAGCTCCATTATATCCTACCCTTTCATGGCTCTGGAGCCAGATTGCTAGGTGTGACCTCCCAGCTCCTCTTAATTAGCTGTGTTACAATGATCACTCAATTGGACGTTTTACTTGCCATTCTGTATTTCAGTTTCTGTAAAATGAGAATAGTGTGAGGATTAAGTGCCATGATAACAAAACATTTAGTATAGTGCCCAAAACATAACACTCAACAAATGTTAGCCATCATCCCTGTGCTGTAGGTCATATTTCTGCAATTTTATTTAAAAAAAAAAAAGTTTGGCCATATGAAGTTTCTCAAGGTCGCATAACTGATGAAACTATTGCTCAATGTGCTGCAATTTTCTTGATGAGGGCAGGGAGCATCTTACTGCAGATTCTCCATTCCCAAATGTGTCTGGCATAGTGCTCAAAAAAACGCTTCTTGAGGTCAGATGGTCAAAGATCTTAAAAAAAAAAAAACCACAGGAGAATGTTGAATCTAGAAAACGAGAAGGGAGAGGAGAGTGTCGGGAATGTTGACTGAAAATTTTTGTAGTGGTAAAGAAGATTCCAGGGAATCTAAAGGTAGTCCGAGGAAAAATAATTGGACCCACTGACCGAGATGTCGGGAGGCTATCAACATCCTATCATTATTACAATATCTCTTAAAAAGGAGCGCTGTCCAACGTTGGAAGGGACCGCTTCCCAATCACCATTCCTGCGGCGGGTCTGACTCCGAGACTGGAAGACCTCTGGACTTCCAGGAAGTAAGGGAACCTGGCCAGGGACGCAGGGAAGCCGGTTGCTGAGGCCGGAGAGTGCCCCTTCGGTGACGCCCTGACTCCGAAAGCCGGGCGGTTTCGCTCGGCTCTCACCACGCGCCCGCCAACTCCACCCCGAGGCCACACTTTTCCCCGTGGCCCCGAGGGCGGGAAGCCCGGGCAGCTGAACTAATCAAGTGGGCCTGCGAAGGCGGGGGAAACCTGGCCGGGCCGGAAACGCCGAGAACTGCTTCCGGGTCAGGGCCCCGGAGCCACCATGGAGACTCGCAGGGCTGCGGGGCCGACGGAACCGCAGGTCGGCGTCAGAACCAAGTGAAACGCTGCTTGGCCAGCGCCGCCTGGGACACGCAGGCCGGTCCCGGGGAGCCGCGGTCGCCGCCATGTCGGTGCTGGGCGAGTACGAGCGGCACTGCGACTCCATCAACTCGGACTTTGGAAGCGAGTCCGGGGGTGGCGGGGACTCGGGCCCGGGGCCCAGCGCCAGTCCGGGGCCGCGGGCCGGCGGCGGCGCGGCGGAGCAGGAGGAGCTGCACTACATCCCCATCCGCGTCCTGGGTCGCGGCGCCTTCGGGGAGGCCACGCTGTACCGCCGCACCGAGGTAGCGGCCCTCGGCTCTGGCCGCTGCCAGGCCGCCCCGAGCTTCTCCTTCCCGGTCCCTTCCTTCCCGACCTGCCCCCGGCTTCCTACGCGTCTTGAGCCTCCTTGCATAATGTTTAGACACCCGCAAGGCATATGTGTCAGGGTCTTCACCACTCTTTCAACTCACCTGCAATAGGAATTGCTTAGATTACTGATTTCCACTAACCGGTCATTTGTGCTTAGCCCGGGGAACCTGAGCAAATCACAGAACTGTCCATGAGATTTAGTTTTCTCATCTTTAAATTGGACTTAGTGATCCCCACCTTAAACCTTACCTTTATATTTTTAAGGTTATTTCGTGAATCAAACGAAGGTGTGTGCAAACTGTAAGTGAAAGTGGTATAGGAACGAGAGGTGTTGCCAAAACTTCCTTCCTTTCCTTGTGTAGCTTTCAAAGGTCGGGGTGGGGAGGAGGGGTATTGCTTCTGAATACCTCTACTTGCCTAGTTTTGTCATTATCTTTAAGTTCATAAATGATCACTCAATTGGATATTCTTCTTGAAAATCATTGGGAAGATCGCCGTCTGTTGGTTTCTTCACTAGTGTTCATCTTGCAGGCTTCATGTGTGGAAAAATATTGGTTATTCTAAGTTCTTGGGGAAACAAGGACCCAATTGAGAACCCAACGTAAGCAGAATGATCTCAATCTCTTCTATCCACATTCACAATGTATATACATCCTTTACAAAGAATCCATGGATCACTGATTCCCAAGTTAGGAATGTATACTCAACTCCACAGTGGTTATTCTCCTTTCAAAAACCATAAATTAGATTTGGTAACTAGTGTCTTAAAACTTTAGCTCTAGGATAAACATTTAATGAGACTTGCTGAGGTAGCTGAAGGTGATTCATCCATAGGTGATCCATCTGCAGTTCTACTGTCTGTTCCAAGCCAGATTATATTGATTTTGTTTTGTTTTATCCTGCTGGGGATTGAACACAGGGCTCTGCACATGCTAGGAAAACTGTCTACCTCTGGAGCTATTCCCCACCCCAACCCAGCATATGTTTAAGACTGAAAGAAGAGGTGGTTGCAGGCGAATATCTTTAAATAATTCTTTTTATCCTAATGCCACATTACTGTAAAATGTTAGATTTACTGTTATTCTAAATTACATATTAGTAATCTGTTTTCTTACTTGCCTTGAATAAGATGAATGTTGCCCACTTAAAATTTAGAAGTAAATCTTGGACTGCAATTAGTTTCACATTTTCTTGCTCATCCCTTTCCATTATTACCCTATTAAATTGATTACTATTGTCTTGAGTTGAATTAGATCACACTTTTCCAGAATTGTAGAGCATTATCCTTATCACCAAATATTTCTTAGATCTGTGAAGGTTTAGTTAGAAGCATCCCTTTCCCTCTAGAAGGAAAGGTTCAGTTAGAAGCAGCCCTTTCCCTCTAGAAGGTTATGTTTTAGTAAGAAGATAAGCCAAGTAAGAAAACAAAGAGCATTCCAGTTGTATATGTATGTGAATGAAAACGAATAGACAAATGCCATTTAGGTATACGAATGCTTAAAACTAAGGGAATGGTTGCATTCAATAAGTGTACAATAAAAGGCTTATTAAAGTTTCCAAAGAAGTTTCAAAGTTCTGACAGAGGCATTCAAAAGGATGAAGAGGGTTATGTGGTAGAGATGCTTGTGGGCTGGGAAGCAGTACTAGGAAAGAATTAGAGGTATGATAAAAAGGAATAGACAGGAGCTACAGGTAAATTTTTATGAATAGAGAAAAGTGTGACAGGAGATCATAAAGGTGCACCATGGGGTCTGACCTATCTGGAAAATTAGATATTAGGAAAATCTTAATTTATAAAATTAGAGGCAATCTTAGTATTTTCACTTTATAAGAAGCTGTGATCAGCTGTGGATGCTGTTATCCAGTTCTTTTTCAATATTCAAGCCCTGCAGCAGTCTCCTTTCTGACTAGCAGTCCTATAGGGTTCCTCAATAAAATCTTTAACGTCTGTACCCATCTTATATTTTTACTTGGAACTGACATCATGCAAATTAAGTATTGCAATAAAGTAAGAAGTAAGATTAGTTCATTACTTCCTCCAGTTCTAAAGTAAATTATAATAATTATATGCAGAACCTTTAACCTACATCTGTTTAAAGGAAAAAATTAAGAGTCGATCTTTGCCCCTCTAGGAAGTTTTCTTTCTAGGCTTACAGATCTGGGCGTGGATTCATTCACTGCTGGGCAAGAGGAAAGCACAATGCTTCTGTTACTTGTTGTAGGATGACTCACTGGTTGTGTGGAAGGAAGTTGATTTGACCCGGCTGTCTGAGAAGGAACGTCGTGATGCCTTGAATGAGATTGTTATTCTGGCACTGCTGCAGCATGACAACATCATTGCCTACTACAATCACTTCATGGACAATACTACCCTGCTGATTGAGCTGGAATATTGTAACGGTAAGGTAGAATTCAGTGGGACTTCCTCTGCAAGTCATTCTTATTATGTTCATACTTACCTTGAGGGGAAGAGTACAAGAAAAGGCATATATAATAGTGATAAAACTTTAAATGGATTTGTAGAGTTTAAGAGAAATTGTTCAGGCTTTGGAGAGTTTTGAAGTGTTGTACAAAATAAGGGAAGGGATTTTCCCTTGAGTATTCATATTCTTCCTTGTGATTATAGTTCCATCTTCAAAATGTTTTTTCAGTTGGATATTACATTTATTTTTCAAATTTTTTCCTCATGAAATAATATTAGCCATTAGGAACATAGTGTGGTTTGGTAACACTGGATAGTTATTTTTATTGACTTTAGCTAAAGTTATCCTGTTGCAAGGTGTCTAAAGATCGTAACGGAATGACTGATTTCTTTAGATCATTTGTGTGTAAGATTTGAGTAGTGCCTGGTTAATAGGAAAATAGACAACCCATATCCCAAGTCCCTCTACTTTCTAGCTCTGTAACCTTGGACAAGAAACTTATCTCTGCCTTGGTTTCCTCAACTTAAAATGTGTTTATTGATAATCAGGCTTGGTGACACACACCTCTAATCTCAGCAGTTTGGGAGGTTAAGGCAAGAGAATCATAAATTCAAGGATGGTCTCAGCAACTTAGTGAGACCCTATTTCAAAAACAAAATGGACTGGGCATGTGGCTCAGTGGTTAAAAGCCCCTGGGTTCAATCCCCAGTAACAACATCAAAAAAGTTTGTATCTAGCTATAGGGTTGTATTAGATCATATTTTAAAGCCCTTAGGGTAGGATTTGGTATGTAGCAAGGTTTGGTACATCCTATACAAGAGAATACCCAAAGCCCCTTTTTGAGCTGCATGCTAAAGAGGTACCAGCATATTCTTCATTTATAACTTTTCTGCCTAGACTCTGGTCTTTCACAATTGTTTCTGGTTCTGATCAACTGTAAATATAGGATATTGTAGTAGAAAATTTTTAAGTAACAGAAACCTTCTTAAGAAGTTAAGTTTCTGAACTATGTAATGTTCTGAACAACTAATAATAAAAATTAAAAAAAAAAAAAAGTTAAGTTTCTTTGTGGTTAGGAGGAACCAGAACAAATGATACATTTATTGAAACTCCGAATTACTAAATAGCAGGGGAAGAGAAATTATAAAAATTTACCCAGGCTAAAGTATAAGTTGCAGCCGAAAGTAAGACAAGCCAGGATTGTTTGCAATCTGTATTAGTTTATAAAAAAGTGAGAAGCAAATTAATACTTATTCCACAGGAAGAAATTCATAAAGGGAGTAATGATTGGGAACAATCTAGGAGTAAATTTTTTGGGAAACCTTTTCAGTAGAAAGTGGGAAGAAAAGATTGTTCATATGCACCCTGTATGTAAAACATTGCATCACAGACATAACCCAGATGTTCTAGTAGTCACACTGGGAGAATTATAAAAATATTGCCGATTGGGCTGGGGTTGTGGCTCAGCAGTAGAGCACTTGCCTAGCACGTGCAAGGCCTTGGGTTTGATCCTCAGCACCATATAAAAATAAATAAATAAAATAAAGATATTGTGTCCAACCACAACTAAAAAGTAAATATGTGTGTGTGTGTGTGTGTGTGTATATATATATATATATATATATATATATTTATGTGTATATAGCAGATTCCTTCAAAAGAAGTCTAGAAAAGAAAATCATGACTTTGAAGCTATTTCATTATTAGGGTACTATAGGAATGGTCTTTACTGTCATCTTTTCTAAAAATACCACACTTCCCATTTTTGTCTTGAATTAGGGAGGGGAATCTTCATATAATATTTCTGATAGTTTTGTACCCTGTGAAAGGCCAAGAGAGAAGAAATTGTTTCCTTTAGAGAGGAAGTTGAATCCTTCATTTCCTTGCATCACCTGTTAAAACCCTATTAGATGGAGTCAAGTTTTTATCTCTATTAAGCATTCAAACCTGTTTCTTGTTTAATTTCAGGAGGGAACCTGTATGACAAAATCCTTCGTCAGAAGGACAAGTTGTTTGAGGAAGAGGTAATTTATATGTCTATGAAAGGAAGCTGAAATTATAAAGTAATTCTTACATTTTGGTTGTGAAGAGTTTTTTTCCCTTTTATTTGGACTCCTTCCGGACTCTGATATTCATTAGAAAGAAAACCTCTAACAAGAAACCTGTCTAGCTGCTTCCCGACCGTTTTACCTCTACATCATGGTTTACTCTGGCTTTCTTTTCTGGTTCTGTTACTGCATGCTGGTATGCACAGTATTCCATACTTTTGCATTCTTCCTGAGTTTCTACGAGAAAGAAACTGTTCCACTATACTATATTTTATGACAATAGAACTGTTTTATGGAGACCTGCTTTTTCTTTTTATCCCCTACCACTTTTCTTTGCTTATTCAACGTAGAAGCAAAAGATGTCAAGTCATGTTAATCATAACCTCTGGTTGCGGTTTCCTTTTTTGTTTGTTTGTTTTTGTTTCATGTGTGTGTTTATTTAAATGAATTTTTTGTTTACAAAACAAATATAATTTATTTTGTCTCTGCAGATGGTGGTGTGGTACCTTTTTCAGATTGTTTCAGCAGTGAGCTGTATTCATAAAGCTGGAATCCTTCATAGGTAATGAATAAAGAAAATGTATGGATAGATTCTTCTTTTTTCTTTTCTTTTTTTTCCCCTGCAGTACTAAGGGATTGAACCCAACGAGTTCTACTACTGAGCTATCTCCCCAGCCCTTTTTGGTTTTTATTTTTCCCAGGCTCAAACTTACAGTTCTTCTGCCTCAGTCTCCTGAGTTGGTGGAATTATAGGCATACATCACTGGGCCCAGCTAGCACTTTTTTTTTCTTTACCAAACAAGAGTTTTTCCATTGATATAATCAGGACAGGAAAGAGTGAATAATGAGGGGCTGGGGATGTGGCTCAAGCGGTAGCATGCTCGCCTGGCATGCGTGCGGCCCGGGTTCGATCCTCGGCACCACATACAAAGATGTTGTGTCCGCCGAAAACTAAAAAATAAATATTAAAAAATTATAAAAAAAAAAAAAAGAGTGAATAATGAGAGAGATTATCTTCACTTTTTGAGATTAAACCATGTTTGTGATCTAGGAAGAATCTCCTCAGTAGCTAGATACCACTTAGTCATTACCTGTAGAGGTATCTTAGAGTTTAGTAGATTAACTTATCAGGAGAGCCGAGAAGGTAGTATGAGAAATAGTTTTAATCTGGATGGAATCCACAGTGAGTGTTTTCTCTGTGCAATAATAATTAGCAATTGTTTTTAATTCTGTAATTAAGCTATTTTAATTTAAATAAATGGCATTTTGTAAGATTAATTGTGCAATTTTACTAAATATTTGATAAAAATTAGGGGGAACAAAACAGGTTTCTATTTATTTCTATCTATTAAATAGAACCATTTTTAAGAGCATTTCTGCATCATTATGCCCTTCTTTTGGGGATGGGGTACTGAAGATTGAGCCCAAGAATGCACTCAAACACTGAGCCACATCCCAGTCCTTCTTTTTTTTTTTTTTTTTTTTTTTTGAGGCAGGATCTCGCTAGATTATCTAGGCTGGCGGCAAACTTGTGGTCCTCCTGCATCAAGCTCCCAAATAGCTGGGATTACTGACATGTGCTACCTCACCAAACTGTAGTTAGCATATAATTCTTGATGACTATTGGATGGCTACTGTTGCATGTTATTTTCTTTTTAAAAGTAACAAAATATGTTGTTCTGGTTTATTCACATGTTTCAATAAAGGAAGCCAGAATCTAAACTAGGATTATTTTATTTTATACATGGTCAATCCATCTTTGGCAAAAGAGTCAGTGGCTTATTTAGATGATCTAAAACAGCCTAGTTGTGTTGATGCTGAGACATGTAGCCTCTTCTGCCTTAACAGATTTTTTAAAACCTTGACACCAATCAGATGCTAAATTGCAGTAATACTGAAATGGAAGGCGTAAGTGGTAGTTGCAAAGATAGTGTATTTTACAGGAATTATGGTTGCCTGCAGCCCTATTTTCTCATCTGACTTTCAACTTTTCCTAATGGTGTCATTGGTATGGGATACACTCTATGTTGTGAAAGTCCTGTGTAGTGAAGTTAATTCTTTGCTTTTACTCCCTAAGTCCCCTTTTCAGTGTTAAAATATGTGTGAAAGTGATGATCACTGTGTAGGATATTTGGGGCCCCATAACAGAATCTGACCAGTGAGAATACATTCATATTTACTGTGTATTAATCTTGGCAGGATGTTTGAGTAAGATAAAACTGTTGACTATATGGACTTCATACATGGCATCTTTTTTTTTTTCCAGAGATATAAAGACATTAAATATTTTTCTGACCAAGGCAAACCTGATAAAACTTGGAGATTATGGCCTAGCAAAGAAACTTAATTCCGAATATTCCATGGCTGAGACGGTGAGTACAGGTTGCCCTTCTTTTTTTTTTTTTTTTTCCTTTTCCTTTCTAGCTCCATGAGAACCATACCCCCTAAATCTTGGACATTTTTCCCAAGACACTCTCTCCCTTTTTCTTTTTTCCCCCCTTGATTATACTAGTGATTGAATTCAGGGTGCTCTGCCATTGAGCTGTATCTCCTGCCCTTTTTATTTTTTGTTTCAAGACAGTGTCTTGCTAAGTTCTGAGACTGGCCTAAATCTTGCAGTCCTCCTGCCTCAGCCTCTAGAGTCACTGGGATTATAGGTGTGTGCCATCACATTGACATTGAAAATATTTTTTTTTCTTTAATATATGTATTTTTAGTTGTTGATGAACCTTTATTTTATTCATTTATTTATATGTGGTGCTGAGAATCAAACCCAGTGCCTCCCACAGCTAGGCAAGAGCTCTGCCACTGAGCCACAATCTCAGCTCAAAAATCTTTTGTGTGTGTGTGTTTCCTTTGAATTCTGCTTCTGGTTCAGAGAGAAGCCTATGTTACAAGCAAAGCCTAATTAATGCCCAGTGAAGAATCAGTTCTTTAATAATCACAGTCTGAATTAGAAGACTCCCTTCAAACCTGATTTTGATTGGGTAAAAAGAAGACACAAGACACAGGGATCTTATCTTTTTAGTAATTATAAAATCCAGTTATGGCCAGGCACGGTGATGTACTCCTGTAATCCCAGTGGCTTGGGAGGCTGAGACAGAAGGATCTCAGTTCAAAGCCAGCCTCAGCAACTTACTGAGGCACTAAACAAGTCTCTAAATAAAATAGAAAATAGAGCTGGGGATGTGGCTCAGTGGTCAAGTGCCCCTGAGTTCCATCCCGGTATCCCCCCAGAAATATCCAGTTATGATTGTTCTGCTTTTATAATGCTCTATCCTTAAAAGAACTTGGAAATGTAAGTTAAAAAATTATCTTTATCCTGATGTTTTTTGGATAACATCAAGATATGCCTGCAATATGTGTGTGTTTATTTTTTATTTATTTACATGAGTTCTCTTATTATTCTAGGGTTGTGAGTCCCTGTTTCAGAAACTCATTTGTTTGTATGATGAAGGCCAAATTAAGTTTCTAAACATGCAATTATGTCCTTATATGGATTTTTCTCATCAAAAACAATCTGATAGGGCTGGAGTTCTAGCTCAGTGGCAGAGCGCTTGCCTAGCATGTGTGAGGTACTGGGTTCGATTCTCAGCACCATGTATCAATAAATAAAATAAAGGTCCATTGGCAACTAAAACAATATTTAAAAAAGAAAAGAAAAGAACAATCTGATAAAACCCAGACTTGACTTTTCTAAGCCATTTAAATGCAATGAATTATCTGAAAATTTATAAAGGACATGTATGTCATCTGAAAAAAAAATTTTTTTCTCTGTTGAGTAAAGATGGCTTGTCCCAAATAGTGGGAGAAGCAGACTTTTGTACAGAACACTTTGTTTCCGAACTCATTCTTTTGTGTGTGTGTTTATTTTTTTATTATTTATTTATTTTTTTACATGAACTCTCTTATTATTATTTTTTTTTGCATTACAATGCTTAATACACCTTTATACCTCAATTTATTATATTTCTGTATCCAAGATATGTTCCAAACTCATTCTTAAAGCCAGACAATCTTCAAATTCCAAAGAAATTTACTAGCTACTTTAGTATCACACATGTTGAATTGAGCCATGTAAAAAGTTTCATTCCGGTGCATTTCAGTTAGAACTTTTAACCCATTCATTCAGTTACCATCTCCCCACTGCCAGTTCACATTAGTGAATTTTTACTGAGTCTGTCCCAATCTGTATGAAGTCTTCACTAGGCCTTGAATGCCTAAAGCCTGTGTGAACTAGGACTCAGAGCCATTGAGCCTTCCAAGTTGACCATAGTGCCCTTATCACAGATTGCCCTTTTATAACTGACCCAAGAAATTTAATATGAATAAAATTTTTCCCCATAGTGGCATCATCTCATAAAAACCATTTTGGGATCTATTAGTGAATATTTTATGTTATTATCACTAGTTTATAGGAAATTTAACTTAACTAAAATGTTTATACAGTTACTTCAAAAGAGAAATTATTTTTTGTTTTTTTTGTTTATTGTTCAGCTTGTGGGAACCCCATATTACATGTCTCCAGAGCTATGCCAAGGAGTGAAATACAATTTCAAGTCTGATATCTGGGCAGTCGGCTGTGTCATTTTTGAACTGCTTACACTCAAGAGAACATTTGATGCTACAGTAAGTTGGTATATTATCCCACATTGTCTTTGCAAGTGATTCAGATTGGTTAAGTGAATCAACTTCATTTATCTCTGAGCTTCTGATTTCTTAAACAGAAATCACTGTATTAAAAAATAACCTGTAGTCAGACACCAGATTAATATTATATCATTGAAATACTGAAGACTAGATTTATCTCCAACATTAATTCCCTACTGAAATGACCATAATCAAGCAATTTGAGCACTGTACTTGAATATGTTGACTCTGATTTTAAAACTGGCTCTAGCATCACCCGTGTGATGCTCCAGTTTGGAAAAGTTATTTCAATTCTTATGCTCTAGCTACATCTTTTGTTTGTTTGATTGATTGATTGTTTGTTAAATGTGGTGCTGTGGGTTGAACCCAGAGCCTCATATATCTAGGCAAGTATGCTACCAGTGAGCTACATCCCATCACCCTTTAAAATTATTACAGAGTCTTATTAAGTTGTTGGCTGGCCTCAAAACTTTTGATCCTCCTAACATAGCCTCCTGAGTAACCGGCATTACAAGCTTAAAGGCATGTACCACCAACCCAGCTTACATAATTTTCTCTTTTTTAAAATTAAAGCCTGATATGAAGGAGCATTTCTCAAACTTTAATATGCATTCAAAATCACCTAGACATCTTGTTACAATACAGATTCTATTTCATCAGTGTTCAGGTAGAGATCTGATATTCTGCATTTCAGACAAGCTCCCACATGATGCTGATGATGCTTCTCCATGGACCACCACTTGAGTAGCTAAAGTGAAATCATGTTTATTCTCCTTCAATCAGATGTGAGAATTTAGGCAAATCATTTCTTGGATCCTCTATTTTTTTTTAATCTATGGAAACAACATATATCTTCCCAAACAATATATAGTCCCTCATGAAAATTTTTAGATATTGTATGTGAAATATGCAAATGTAAAATTAAAAAAAAAGAAAAATGCAAATATAAGATAATGCAAACTCATTGGTCTTTTATGAGACCTATTTATTTTTCTAAATCCTGAAGTTTGTTCAGGTGTATCATCTAATTCTCCAGAATAATATAGTAGAAGAAAAATGACTTTTGGAGTCAGACTTTAGTTGGAGGATGGCTTTCCTTTTACTTTAAGTGTAATTTTGAGCAAGTTACTTTATATCTCTGAGCCCCATTTTTCTTGTGTAAAAATTGATAATGATAATAACTTCTTTTTGTTGTCTTTGTAAACATAAAAAAGATCATATATGTAATATACCTACTGGTCTTTCAGTTAGATTGTTGTAATATTAGAATAATTTTATTCTTATCACCTTGTTATTATAAGATATCTGTGTATTATTTACTCTATTGCCTGTTCAGCCATTATTTAGGATATATACATTAGGAGATAAATTAGTTGGCAGGAGAGTTACTTAAAGTAAAGAAGCATAACTAATTATGCTTTCCTTTATCTTGGGATTCAGTTGAAGATTATAATATATTCTGAGCAATATGCTGTTGGCTATATAGTCATAGTTTTAATCTCCATTTTGGCCATTTAGCTTAATTTCATCTGATAGCAGCATTGCATCCCCAACCATTTCTTGCTGATGCATACTGATAGTTATAATATTATATCAGACCTAATATAGAACAATTGCCAACTTTTTAAATAATGGTCACAGACATCCCTGAGCCCCTGCTGGTAGATTATAATGTCATCTTTATATAACCAGGAACAATGCAGTCATCATTTTCTCATAGAACCCACTCAACTTGTGTGTGAAGATCGTGCAAGGAATCCGTGCCATGGAAGTCGATTCTAGCCAGTACTCTTTGGAATTGATCCAAATGGTCCATGCGTGTCTTGACCAGGTAGGTCTGACTTATATATTGATTTCAATTTTACATTTTCCTTTTCTAGCCTCAGTGTTTAGGATATGGCATAGATACAGACCATACAGAACCACATTATCTTCCCAGATAAATGCATTCTGGTATTGGCAACTACCATGAGTTGCCAATACCAGAATAGGTATTGGCAACTCATGGTAGTTAAATACTCCTACTAACAAATTTTTACATTATTTTGCTATATTAATTTTCAACATGGTTTTGCCATCCAAACTGTGCTGTATATTTTACAGTCAAAATTTACCTCTATAAATTGATTTTGTAAAATGCAGTCAGAGATGTAGAGTTTCTGATTGTTGTGTTTTCTCTTTGTTTGGTACTGGGGATTGAACTCAGTAGGGCTTAACCACTGAGTCACATCACCATTTCTTTTTATTTTTTATTTTGAGACAGGAATTCCCTAAAGTACTTAAGCCCTTGCTAAGATGGTTGGTGAGGCTGACCTTGAACTTGTGATCCTTCTGCCTCAGCCTCTCAAGTTGCTGGGATTTTTAACTTATAAAACTCTAACTAGGTGTGCATTGCCACACCTAGTTAGAGTTTTATAAGTTAAAAAAAAAGAATTATGTTTCTGGATACCACCCCAGACCAACAGAATTTCTGTGGCTAAAGTTTAAAAATCTTTATTTGTAATATTTGTAATATGCACCCCAGTGATTATTCTGTGCCACATGTATTGAGGTTTGAGAGCTACTACCCTAATTGAACAAGTGAAGAACATGCATTATAAACATCCTCTTTCATGTACAGTGTTGATGGTGACAAGAGGATAGGCATTAAACATGGAATGTGACGTTAAGAAATGGTGATTTTTGAAACAAAAGGCTAATGTACAGTAGTCTTTGACTAATTAATCTTCATCCTTATAAGACAAAGTAAAATTTCTCATTAGATCCGATATTACCCATTTCTTTTAAGTGAAAACTAATCTATTTTTACTTTTTAGGATCCTGAGCAGAGACCCACTGCAGATGAACTTCTGGATCGTCCTCTTCTCAAGAAACGCAGGAGGTAAAGTACAAATAGATCACTTTCATTAGAGATGTTTGACTGCTATAGAGGCCTGATCAGAAAAAACAGGAAAAGGTGGAGTTTCCTAACTTGGCCACTGTAGTGTTATTTTCTACCAACACTTCTGCTCCCATTGCTTGAGAGTGATTTCTAGCTTTTACTTCCTTAACTATTTGCTCTAAATTTGTACTGATTAGACCCAAAAGCCCTCTACTCCCTCAGTACGTGTATTTTCTATTCTACAGTATAGGCATTGATACCCATAAGGTTGTATCTAAGTTCTGGCATTATCTTTGCCAAATTATTTAACAGCTCTTTTTGTTGTTGTTCTTGTTTGTTTTATCCACTATAGAGTGAGGTAAGGTGAGGAATAAAGAAGGTAACACATATAAGGTGCTCAGTCTGGGACCTGGTAGAAAGTGCTTAGCAGCTGTTGGATACAGATGTGAATTTGGGCATTTTTTTTTTTAGGTATGATTGTTGAGATAGTGTGTTGGAGTTGGACAAGTGTTCTTTATGAACTTCTTGTCCACTTCTTGAGGTCAATTTTTATTAACTTCTGACAAACTCTTTCCTGAGATTTTTTCTGTCCCAGGTCTCTAGAGGTAGGCAGGCTATCCTTCCTGTAGGAGGCTTCAAGCCTCAACTTAAAGGAGAAGTATTCCTTATCTTTTCTTAAATTTTCTAGTTTGTATTTCACCTTATTATTTTTGCCCCACTACACTTTATATCTTTTTTAAATATATCCTTCAAATATTCAAACATTTACTGTACTCATTTTTAAGTCTTGTTCTTATATGTACTAAGTATGTACGTCATTCCATAATTGTTGCTATTTATCTTTATTCTGTTGTCATTTAATTAATCTTTTATTAGTGTTTTTGTGTTTATTCAAACGTATTATTATTTTAATCAGTGCAATAATTGTTATTTTTATGGTATAGTGTGACATTTTAATACGTATACATAATGTGTAATGATCAGTTCAAGATATTTGACATATCTCTCACCTCAGACATTTATCATTTCTTTATGTTGGAAACCTCCAAACTCCTCCCTTCTAGTTATTTTGATATATTCAATTAATTTTGTTAATCATAGTTATCCTACTATGCTATGTAGAACATTAGAAGTTATTCCCCCTATCCAGCTGCACCCCTGTACCCATTAATTATCATCTCTCCATCCCTCGCTCATCCACACCCTTTCTAGCTCCGGTAATTACTCTTCTGTTCTCTACTCCTTTAAGGTAAACTTTTTAGGTTCCAAATGTTAAGAACATGCAGTGCTTATTTACTTTGCTTGATTTATTTCACTTATAATATCCTCCAGTTCCATCTGTTTTCCTGAAAATGCTGATGAATAGTATTCTACTCTGTGTGTAGTCTACATTTACTTTATCTATTTACCCATTGATGGATACCTATGCTGATTTTATATTTTGCCTATGAGGAATAGTACTGCAATAAACATGCAAGTGTAGGTGTCTCTTTGATATACTGATATCAATTCCTTTGTATACATACCCAATAGAAGGATAGCTGGATCAAATGGTAGTTCTATTTTCAGTTTCTTGAGGAACTCCCATACTCTTTTCCATAATGTCTGTGCTAATTTATTGCCAATAACAGTGTCTGACAAGTTTCCCTTTCTCTATATCCTTGCAGCATTTGTTACTTTTTATATATATTTTTTAATAATAGTAATTCTAACTGGTGGTGGTTTTGATTTGCATTTCTCTTATGATTAGTAATGTTGAGCATTTTATCCTGTATTTACTGGTCATTTGAATATCCTCTTTCAAGAAATGTGTATTCAGATCATTCACCCATTTTTTTAATCTTCTTTTTTCTCATTCACCCATTTTTTAAATGAGATGATTTGAGGGCTTTTTTTGCCATTGACTTGTTTATGTTCCTTATATATTCTGGAATCAATAGTTTGCCAATATTTTCTCCTCTCTAGATTTCTCTTAATACTATTGATTGTTTCCTTTCTGTATAGAAGTTTTTTAGTTTGATATAATCCCGTTTGTCAAATTTTGCTTTTTTGCCTATGCTTTTAGGGTAAAAGCCAAAAAGATAGACCAGTGTCCTGAAGCATATCTCCTTTATTTTCTTTTGATAGTTTTATAGTTTGGGGGCTTACATTATGCATTTGATCCATACTTAACCTCTAACCAGTGATTTGGTGCCTAGAATTATGTGTCATACTCCAGATATAGCACTATGACCTTCCATTAATGTTTTATGCCAATTCAAGCAATATCACCCTTTGGGGCTGGTTAAACACATTCATAAATTTTATCTAGTTTATACCCAACAATATAGTCAATGTTTAAATCTCTTATTGAAATACTCCAATTAATAAATATTTTTATGGTACTGGGAATTGAACCCAGGACAGTTCTATCTCTGATCTACATCCCCAGCCCTTTTACCAGTTTATTTTATTTTATTTTATTTTATTTTATTTTGAGATGGGGTGTTATAAAGCTGCCCAGACTGACCTTGAACTTATGATTCCCCCTACCTCAGCCTCCTAAATCACTGGGATTATAGACGTATGCCACTGCAGCAACCCAGTTTTGGACAAAATAGAGTTTATTCAGTGCAGTAAGCAATTTAACAAGTGTCAATTTTATAGTTTCGCCCAGTGGAATATGCCAACATCTATCAGTACTAGTAGAACCTTAGTTGATAATTTTTAATTGAAACTTTTATTGAAATAATTATATATTTACCTGGAGTACTTTGTTGAAAAAAACATAAGATAGAAGTTTTCTAGACAGAGAAAATAGCATAAGCAGAAACACAGACACAGGAAGTTGTGGGAAATGTTCAGGAAACACAAAGCCCTATTTGGCTAGATTAGCTATTCTAGACCTGGGGTTCTCCGTGCAAAATCTCAGGAGCTTTCACAAATTACTGATACCTGAGCACTGCCCTAATAGTTCAGCTATGATAGATTTAGTCAGAATGATAATCCTGGACCAGAACATAAGGTGTAAGTGGAAAAAAAAAAGACTACAAAGAGAGAATCTTGAATACCAGGCTTAATTTAAAAATAGTACAGAAGTATTGGGCATTTAGGAGAGAACAGCTCACGTGATGAGAGGCGTACTTAAGGAAGAGTCATTTAGCAGTACTAGGATTGATGTTAGCTTAGCAAAGAACGGATGAAAGTGGGCAGGACTGTGGTGAGGCTGACTAGGAGGCACTGCCACAGTATAGATAGGAAACAAAGTTGCCCAGAGCTAAGGTGATGAGACTGGACAGGAAGAGTTGTGTTTTATAAAAGGTGCTGTATAGGTAGGATCCATAGAATTGAAATGTTGAAGAAAGGAGGAGAAAGGAGTCAAAGATGATTGAAGAAGGGGGAAGGAGTTTGCCAGTTACAGAAATAGGTAAGTCAGAAAGCAAAGCTGGTTTAGGAAAGAGATAATAAGCCCAGGTTTGGAGATGCTTGATTTGGGGAGTCAGTGGGCAGACCAGATGGAGATATCTATCATGTGCATCAGAGGTTCTTAAGGCTCCCTGCTCCAACCTAGACTGGTTCTCAGAAATAGAAAGCAAGTGGCCCCAAACTACTGACTCTCTTTAATATAATCAATTGTCTAATGCAAGATCTTATAACTGTTTTGAGTTGTATCAAGGTACCTTCCTAAAAATATTGTCATATTGTAGGATGCATTCAGTTAATAAAATTAAATCTGTGAAATATATTAAAGAGACACTGTTGCCTTATAGAAACCTATTATTTCAAAATTCATGTGTCTTTTGCTTTTCTTTTGGTAGAGAGATGGAAGAAAAAGTCACTCTGCTTAATGCACCTACAAAGAGACCAAGGTAATGCTCAAGAAACTATTAATACTATATGTACTGAATTTCCACCAGAAGGGTCTTACTTAGGTCTATGCATTATTTGATCCCAGTGGCCTTTGATATCTTCTTAGGAGCCACCATGTGCTTAAATTTCTGAAAAGAGAGCCATAATTTCACCTTACACTAACATGGACGGCATTACATTGATGAATGTTGAAAAGTATAGGTGTTATGGATCAGACTAGAAACTGGCCTGGCCAAACTGTGATGAATACCTGAGGCAGGAATTGCAAAGCTTGCTGTGAGAGAGGGTTGAAAGAATATATTTTTTTATATCATAATTGGCAGTACTTTTAAGGGAACAGACTGGAAGCAGTCTTCTTTGAGATTGTTTTTATGTTAAATGTGCCTTTGTTCTGGGGGTTGCTGGCAGGTCAAGCACCGTGACTGAAGCACCCATTGCTGTAGTAACATCACGAACCAGTGAAGTCTATGTTTGGGGTGGTGGGAAATCCACCCCCCAGAAACTGGATGTCATCAAGAGTGGCTGTAGTGCCCGGCAGGTGTGCGCTGGGAATACCCACTTTGCTGTGGTCACAGTGGAGAAGGAACTGTACACCTGGGTGGTAAGTGAGAGCTAAGGACTTTTGGAACAGTGCTGTCAGCCTACTTGTTTCCTGGGCCATGATGTCGAAGCATTTTGTTAGTCATATGATGCAGGCTGCAACATGGGGTGATGGAACTTCAGCTCTACGAGAATGGAAATTCTGTTTGGTTCACTGATGTATCTAGCATGCCTGGTACATACTAGGTTACCTGTCAGCATTTTCTGAATGAATGAAAGAGGCAAAGAAAACTAAAAGAGCCCTAGCTTTGGACTCAGAAGAAGACCTGGCTCTTCAATTTATAGTTAGAGGATGTACTTTGTTTCATTATTGTGGGGTTCAGAGCAGCTAGTATTTGTGAAATAGCTTTACAGATGAAATACTGCATCATGTCAGGAAACCTCTGACTCCCACTGGTGGTTGAAGATGCCTAGGTATATCTTACATAGAACTTTTCTTGGTTGCCTTCTTACCTGCTTAACACAGTGAGTTTGTTGTTTCTTACCTCCCATTTTCTCCTTCACCTGCAGTGAAACCTTCATCCCTATCACTCAGTTGAGTCTTGACAAAATAACTGATAAATTGCCAAAGTAAAACAGGTGTTGTGTTTTCTTTTTGGTTTATGGATTTTTTTTATTTTCATGGGACAAGGGATTGACCCAGGGCACTCCACTACTGAGCTACATCCCCAGCCCTTTTATTTTTAATTTTGAGATAAGGTCTTGCTAAGTTGTCCAGGCTGGCCCTGAATTTGTAATCCTGCCTCAGCCTCCCAAGTTTCTGGGATTACAGTTGTGCACCTTTGTGCCCAGCAAAACGGATGCATTTTAGCCCTTACCTTATTAACCTCTTGGCAGTGTTTGCCATCATGGACCACTCCCTTTTCTTTTTTTTTTTTTTTTAATTAGTTACTCAAAACAATACAATGATCTTGACATATCATACATTTGATTCAAATGGGGTATGAATTCTCATTTTTCTATGTGTGCAGATTGCAGGTTCACATTGGTTATATAGCCACTTATATACATACAGCAATACTAGTGTCTGTTGTATTCTGCTGCCCTCCTTATCCCCCCTCCCCTTGACCACTCCCTTCTTGAAGCATTGTTTTCACTCAGCTTCCATGGGAGCAGGTTCTAGTGGCTTCCCCCTGTCTCTTTGGCCTTGCCTTCTCAGGCTTATTTCATGCTGCTTTTTCTTTACCCTACCTTATATTCGGCCCTTGGTTCCTTTCCCTGAGGGAATTCATTGTTTTCAGTGGTTTGACAATATCTTCTCCATGAGGACAGGGACTAAAGTTATCTCCCATGAGTGAGGAGTAGGCACACAACTGTTGAGTGGTTAAAAGAATGATTTGGCCTTGGTTGTAGAGTGATGACTTACTGTTATTTCCTTAGACCCTGTTCCTTAAAGAATTAGCCTCTGGGGGTGGCTTCCAGAAGTAGAGTGAAACCAGTGCTTTAAACATCATTTGTATAAGGACTTATAGTTGAGTCCTTGGAAAGAATTACTTATCTCTGTAAACTGTAGAAAAGTCACGAGGACTGTTCTCAGTTCTGTATAGCAGCTTCTTTGATGTTGCCAGATTTTTTTTATAACTGTTCTGTGTTTCAAGTAAACTGACCAAAATTATCCATAATTAAATGTATAGTTCACCTTAGAGTTAGTTGAAGAACAAGAGAAATGTATCCTTTTAAGGCTTGTTAATACTTTTTAAGATTTTTAACCCGTGGGCAGTGATTTTATACTACCTACTATTAAAAGGTTTAATCCCCTTACCCATTTTTTTTTCCTAATTTCTAAATTTCCAGCTGTTTTTTTCCTTTTTATTTTTCTTCATAAGAGGTTATATTAGCTGGGTGCAGCTATAATCCCAGATACCCTGGAGGCTTAGGCAGAAGATCTCAAATTTGAGGCAAGTCTGGGCACTTTGGCAAGACCCCCATTTCAGAAATAAAAAGGGCTGGAAATTTAGCTCTGAGATAGAATTCTAAGTTTGCTCCCCAGTACCATCCCCACACCACACACACACTCGAAGAAGATGAAGAAAAGAAGTTATTTTAAAGATAGCCTGTTAGTGTGAAAAGTTAAAATTTCACAAGACCTCTTTATTTCACAGAACATGCAAGGAGGTACTAAACTCCATGGTCAGCTGGGCCATGGAGACAAAGCTTCCTATCGACAGCCAAAGCATGTGGAAAAGTTGCAAGGCAAAGCTATCCGTCAGGTGTCATGTGGTGATGATTTCACAGTCTGTGTGACAGGTAAGCCATCAACAGAAAGCATCTGAGTACATTTAATGTAGAGATTGTGCTTAAATCTGTGCAGTTTTAGTTAAGATTTTAACCCCCCCACCATCAAAAAAAAAAAGTGTTCAAGGAAACAAAGATATTGAGAAATATGCCCATTAATAACAATACTCCCAATTTGCTGTTCTTAGGGAATGATTGGCAAGAAGACAGATGGGATAGGTGGATAACACAGAAGAGGCAGGATTAGGAGAAATACATTGTGTGTCCCATTTGAGGGAGAAAATAATCTTACTACCTCTGGAGGCTGTGGATAACAAAATCAGGATCAAGAGCTAAATTTAGTTTTGGGCTAGTCATTACTCATTTTATGATTCCTGGTACTTCTCTTTTTATCTCTAAGATAGAGTCCTTAAACATGACAGCACTACCATTTTTAAACTATTTATTACAGTAATAATAAACACCTACAGCTCTAGACTTAAATACAGATAGCTCTAGACTTACATAATGTGTCCTTTTGGTTTCTCTGATACAGTAAACTCATGTGCAATCATTGGCTGGATCCTCATTTTAGCCCTGTCCAGTTTTCTGATTGGACAAAATAAGTCAGTCCTGTGATGAGTTGTTTGCTTTTCTTTTGCAGATGAGGGTCAGCTCTATGCGTTTGGATCAGATTATTATGGCTGCATGGGGGTGGACAAGGTTGCTGGCCCAGAAGTGCTAGAACCCATGCAATTGAACTTCTTCCTCAACAATCCAGTGGAACAGGTCTCCTGTGGAGATAATCATGTAGTGGTTCTGACACGAAATAAGGAAGTCTATTCTTGGGGCTGTGGAGAGTATGGTAAGTGTAGCCTTACTTCTGTTTACTTCTTCCCCGGTGCACAATCCAATTTCAGATTTGCATGCATCCAAACATATCACGTAGCTCTATTCCAGGGCTGAGGTTATGGTTCAGCAGTAGAGCGCTTACATAGCAGACGTGAGGCCCTGGGTATGATCCTTGCACCACATAAAAATAAATAAGTAAAATAAAGGTATTGTGTCCAACTGCAACTAAAAAATAAATATTAAAAAAAAGAGAAGTGTTAATATCATTAAAGAGACTCTATAGAACATCTTCATTTGAAAGAAGGCTGTAATCCGAATGATTTTGTTTCTTATTTGTGTTTCAGGACGACTGGGTTTGGATTCAGAAGAGGATTACTATACACCACAAAAGGTAAAATCAGAAGCAGCTTCTTCCTAAACCTTATCTAAGTCACATAGGAAGAACACATTCTTTTCCTGACTCTTCATATCAAGGTGTTAATTTCTAAATTATTTTGACAATCTAGGATTCCTGGTTTAGTGTTATCATCTGACTAAATCATAGTGGATACAACTACTGTGGACACAGTAGAGTCACATCTTACTCAGGGATGAGAGCTAAAATCAGCATATACAGAGGAAAAGTCACATACTGTTAAATATACATAGAAAACTCCTCAGGAACATACTGGAAAGCAATATGCTATCTCTTAACACAGCCATTTTTCTCCTCGTGGTTTCTATGTTAAACACCAGATGAAATAGTTTTTGTTTAGGAATCATGTGGTGCAAATTGTCATATCTAATTACTCAGCACTTCGAGAGGCTCGCCGGAGTTGAAACCAGCTGAGGGAAAGTCATCTTCTTCTTTCACACCCCCCTGGGGCATAGGCTGGAGGGGTACCTACCATTGACTATACCATTTACTGTTAGAAGTTTTTATTTACATTTTAAAATTAACTGGTGTTTTTGTGGGGTCCACCCTCAATGGGATTCACAGCAGTTGCTCTTCTGAAAGCTATCGTAGAAATTGTGAGGTTTGAGGCTTCAGGTTTCATACACATTAGCTAAAGAAGAATGTGGGCATTTGCAAATGTTCTCTCGGATATGTGGATGCTAACTCAAAATAAGTGGGGGGAGGTAGGGAAGAATAGAAGTACTTTGGATTAGACAAAGGGGAATGAAGGGAAGAGAAAGGGAATGGAAATAGGGAAGATAGTAGAATGAATTGGACGTAACTTTCCTATGTTCATGTATGAATACACGACCAATGTATTTTCACATCCTGTGTAACCAGAAGAATGGGAAGTTATACTCCATATATGTATAATTTGTCCAAGTACATTCTACTGTCATGTATAACTAAAAAAACAATTTTTTTTTTCCAATCCAATTCTCTTATTATTTTTATTATGGCTCAGATTTTCCCTTCTTTGACCAGTGTGTGGATATGATAGCAGTAACTCCACTAGACATTTGGTTTCATGATTCGAGTTTATATTCACCATCTTACCACTTGTCTCATCTGTTTTATATTCTTTTTTTTTTTTTTTTAGCTACACATGACATTACAATGATCTTGGCAATTCATACATTTGAATCATTGGGGTATAATTTCTCATTTTTCTAATTGTACAGATTGCAGAATCACACTGGTCATAGAGTCACCTATATACATACAGCAATCATAATGTCTATTCTATTCTGTGCCCTTCCTATCCCCCCTACTCCTCCCCTCCCCTCCCATCATTTCTCTCTATCCAATCTAATGTGATACACTTTTTTTTTTCTTTTTCTCATCACAACATCATACATGTATTCTGTATAACGATGAGGTTCTCCTTCCATCTTCCGTGCAACTCCCCTTCTCCCTCTTTTTCCCTCCCACCTCTCTTCCCTATTTAGTGGTAGTCGTCTTCTCATGCCCTTCCTCCCTATCCCATTTTGAGTCACCCCCCTTATATCAGAGAAGACATTCGGCATTTGTTTTTTAGGGATTGGCTAACTTCACTTAGCATAATCTGCTCTAATGTTATTCATTTCCCTGCAAATGCCATGATCTTGTTATTTTTTAGTGCTGAGTAATATTTCATTGTGTATAAATGCCACATTTTTTTAATCCATTCATCTATTGAAGGGCATCTAGGTTGGTTCCACATTCTACCTATTGTGAATTGTGCTGCTATAAACATTGATGTGGCTGTGTCCCTGTAGTATGCTCTTTTTAGGTCTTTTGGGTTTAGCTTTCCCTTGGAAAGCTGGGAATGGAACCACCATTTGACCCAGCTATTCCCCTTCTCGGACTGTACCCAAAAAAAAAAAAAAAAAAATTTTTTTTTTTAAGTTTTTAAAAAAAGAATGTGGGCATTTGGAAGTCCTAGCTGCCATCTCAGTACCCTGTCACCTCTCTTATAAAATGAACAGCTTGGAACCCACAGGTCCATTAAGTGTCTTCGAAAGCTGTCAAGAAGCCCTCCGTCTTAGAGGATGAAACCAGCAAGGGATTCAAGCATTTCCTTTCCAGCTTGTTTTGAGCAGTCTTCTCCTTCAGAAAAGTAGGACCTGTTACTAAAACAGACAGGGACTGTCTAGTTGAACTGGAATTGCCACTTTTTTCTTCCTGGTTGGAAATACTATCCCTTAAGCTGATGGGCAAATCTGAAGAGAATGGACCATCCTCTACTTCCCTGTTGTCATTCTGCTAAATGCAGCATGTTGCTTCTGAAAGAATTTTGGAATTTTTTTTCAAACATGAGTTACATATTTGGGATTAATTTTCTTCCAACTTACTTTTCCCTTACAGGTAGATGTTCCTAAGGCCTTGATCATTGTTGCAGTTCAGTGTGGCTGTGATGGGACCTTCCTGCTGACCCAGTCAGGCAAAGTGCTGGCTTGTGGACTTAATGAATTCAATAAATTGGGTCTGAATCAATGCATGTCTGGAATCATCAACCATGAAGTGAGTGCCCCCTCCAAGTCCCAACCATACCATTAGAACTTCTCCTGATTGAAATTTCTTTGGGATTATTGGTTAGTGACCATAGAATTTGATTTAAGAATGAAGGTGGGTTGAGGTTTTAGCTCAGTGGTAGAACACTTGTCTAGAATGTGTGAGGCACTGGGTTCGATCCTTAGTACCACATAAAAAAATAAATGAATGAAATGAAGGTGTTGACTGTCCATCTACAACTAATATATATATATATATATTTTTTTTTTAAATAAGGTGATGATCTCACATATATTATTTTTAGCAAAAGAAACCAGCCACACAAAAAAAATACATACTATATGATTCCAATTAGGTGAACTTCAAGAACAGGCAGAATTAACTTCGGACGGCAGAAATCAAAATAGTGGTTACCTCTGGGTGAAGGGGTCTGGTTATTATCAGAAGAGGTGAGAGGGATCCTGGGGTGATGGGAATGATTTCTGTCTTGATCTGGTGGTGGTTTTACAAATGGGTACACACACAAAAATATATATCATGCTGTGTGGTATTTTGCAGTATATCATGCCTCAGTAAATAAATTGATTATAAAGAACAAAATGAAAAAATTCAGATTCTACCTTATTATTAAAAGAGGAACAAGAAAATTAACATGAAAAAAAGTAACATTTTCATTCATTACCCCCTGGAGAGTTTTTTAGATTTATTGTTCTCAAATCACTGATCCTGTATAGACTTATTAAGTATAATTGCCATTCTCCCCCTTCAAGGATGTCATGAAATTCACCACTGATACTAAATCGTAGGTTCCTCTTTGTGTAAGTATGATGAGTTTTTGTTATTTCTTTTTTCTTTTCTTTCTTTTGGTGACGGTGCTGGGGATCAAACCCAGGGCTTTGTGCATATAAGGCAAGCACTCTATCAGCAGAGCTATCTCCCCAGCCCCAGTTTTTGTCATTTCTAAAGAACCAAAGTAACAAGAATTTTTCTGACTCAATGAAAAACATAAAAGTTAATGATAGAAGGTAGACTAACACAGCCCTAGAACTCAACCACCTGATAAAAGGCAAAGTTTACAATTTGACCTTGATCAAATTACCTAAATATTATGCCCCAAATTGCTAACCTATTAAAAAGAAAAACACAAAAGTTAAATTTTAAGCTGTCTGTGAAGTAGCAATTTTCAGGTAAGTATAAACTCTGGGCGAGACTGGGGAGTGTGTAGTTTGAAAGGCATATTCAGAATTATACTGTTTGATTTTGTGTTGGATTAGAATATTGGATTTGTTGTGAAATTTTAAACTTATAGGGGAGGATATTTTTATACTAATTCAAAGGCAACATGGGTTTTTAAGAAGTTAAACACTATTGACCCCTTAGATGAAGTTAGATCACATGATGTTTCATAGGCTGGAGAGAATCTTCAGGATTTGAATTCCCTGCACTTTTGAGGTATGCATTGTGAAACCAAGGCAGATGTCAATAATTGTATCCTTACATAAATACTTCTGGGATGAAGAGTTTTCGTGTGGTATATCTTAATTTAGAAAGTAAAAATTTATTTTCAGAAAGCCCTGCTTCATATGCTAAATTCTGTGTTTGCATATTGAGCTTGTTTCTTTTTGTATTGTGTTAAAATGGAAAGCTACCTACACTATTTTCTTGGCAACCATTCATTTGGTCCTCATCCATTCTCAGCCTGATTATTTCTCCCACAAATCTTTGCTTTCTCTTTTACTTGTTTTAGGCATACCATGAGGTTCCCTATACTACCTCCTTTACATTGGCCAAGCAACTGTCCTTTTATAAGATTCGTACCATTGCCCCAGGCAAGACCCATACAGCTGCTATTGATGGTGAGTTGATTTTCAACTATATTGTGTCCCTTAGGAGCTCAAGTGTTAGCTTTGCTTTGCTTTTTTTTTTTTTGGTACTGAGAATTAAGTCAGGGACACTCAACCACTGAGCTACATCCACAGCCCTTTTTATATTTTATTTAGAGACAGAGTCTCACTGAGTTGCTTAGGGCCCTACTGAGTTGCTGGGGCTGGCTTTAAACTCACAGTACTCCTGCCTCAGACTTCCCAACCAATGTGTTAGCTTTTCTTAATGACATTTTCATCTTCCTGATTTTCCCCATCTAGTATTGTCATTAACAATCAGGCATTCAATCACACATTTTTTACTGTTAATCATTATAAATGCATGATAAATATTTCTCTGAGAATACCACACCTCTAATGCCTGACTTATATTGTCTCTAATTAGTACCCTTTATGTATTAGAAGTTAGGTAGTACCCATTTTCCACATTAAAAATACAATATTAGAGACCGAATGAAATATTGAGTCGCTTAATGGATCTAACAGATTGCAGTGCTTAGATTGTGTAGCCTCCATAGATCTAGGATCATGTGGCTAGCTAACAACCAGACACTAATGCAGGGACTCATTATGTCTTCCTTCGGTAACCCATTTGTGCCTGGTTATTTATTTTGGCTTCTCTTTCAGAGCGAGGCCGGTTACTGACCTTTGGCTGTAATAAGTGTGGGCAGCTGGGCGTTGGGAATTACAAGAAGCGTCTGGGAATCAACCTGTTGGGGGGACCCCTTGGTGGGAAGCAAGTGATCAGGGTCTCCTGCGGTGATGAGTTCACCATTGCTGCCACTGATGGTGAGTCTGTACTTGTCATTTCCAGCTTTCTGAACAGATGGGTATGTTTTTATTGGGACTAGTTTTTATATAGCTGGATTATGATTTACTTTTTTATTTATAGGAAATCAATGGCCAATTATATATCTTGAGACTCATTGACTTTTTGTGTGTTAAATATAGTGATTTTTTTAAGGGTCAGATTTCTAGATAATAATGAGTTGATTTCTAAGTTCCTTCCTTTTAAATTTTTAATTAACTTTTTGGGTAAAATGTTTTCGGAATTATCAAGAATTTCTGTCTATAGCTTGCCAAGCACCACACTGGTGCCAATTATCAGTAACTAGGTAACTGGAAAGAATATAGGCAGATCTTTCAATACTATGATAGAGGCGTCCAACTAGAGGCATCCAACTTCTTCCAGTGCTCAGTCCTCTCTCCAGAGTGAGTTCATTCCTGAAACTTTATATTATTCAATAGCCTCTCAATCTAAGTGTTACAAAAGATAGCCCATTTATCCTAGGTGATTCCTAATGCCTATTATCTTAGCATAATCATTAGTAGAACCCTCCTTCAAATTAAAAGCAAAAAGGCCTGATTTGGATGAGAATCAGGATTCTGGATTTGGCATCATAGACAAACAGTGTATTCTTATTTTATGCCTTCCTGTCTATAAGTGGCAGCTCCATCCTATACCCTTCATCCCATTCATCAGCAAATCCTATTGATTATCTTCAAAACATATCCAACAACTTATCATCACCACTTTCTATAGCTGGTCTCCCCGCTTCCACCCTGACTTCTTGCAGTTTCTTTTCCTCATTGTAGCCTCAGGGATCCTTTTAAATACCTCCTGTTCAGAACCTCTAAGGGCTTCCTACATCAGTCAGGAAAAACCAAAGTCATCATAGTAGCCTCTACAGTCCTTTATAACCAGGACTCCAGCCATCTCCTCATCTTTCCTTTGACCACTCTGTCGTTTGTTACTTTGCTCCAGCCACAAGCTCCTCCTCGTCCTTTTGCACTTATTTTACCTTGCGCTTGCTGTTCCATCTGCCTAGAAACTCTCTCCCTCATTTCAACCACATTTCTACTTAAGCATCCAAAAGTACTTCTCTGACCACCCTTTCTATAATAAACCCCTTCCTGTGATTATTCTTTTTTTCTGCTTATTTTTCATCTCCACTTATCTTCCTTCATAACACATATTACTCCCTGAAGCATTAGATATTTCTTCGTATATTATCAGTCTCTCCCGCTCCAGTGTTGGCAGGGACTTAATTTTTTTTGTTCACTGCTCATTCACCTCAGGCAGTGCCTGTCATGAAGTAGATGTCTAATAAATGTTTGAGCTACCAGTAAAAAGTTGTTGAGTGAGTAAAGCAGTGTATGAATGGCAATACATAGGAGCTGCGGGGTTTTTTGTTGTTGTTGTTTGTTTATTTTTTTACCTGGGTGGGATCAGGAGGAATTTAGGCTTCTGTAGGGGAATAAACAAATTACCCTCATTTGGGACAGTTTTCTATCTCTAAAAAGATGGGGAACTCAAAAAGTTGGGAGGCCAGTGTTCCATTAAATGATATTCTGTTTAATTTTTTTTTTCTAGATAATCACATTTTTGCTTGGGGAAATGGTGGTAATGGTCGCCTGGCAATGACCCCCACAGAGAGACCACATGGTTCTGATATCTGTACCTCATGGCCTCGGCCTATTTTCGGATCTCTGCATCATGTCCCAGATCTATCCTGCCATGGTTGGCACACCATTCTCATAGTTGGTAAGGGTTTCATATGTGAGGGATTGGGATGGCTTGGACAGGCTTGATCCACACCTACAGTACTATTGGTCATATTCTTGGAAAAAAAATATTCCTGTAGTAAAGAGGCTACTTCTCTAAGTCTTATAATGGACAACATGCCCTAATCATTATGAAGTTATCTGGAGTCTGAGATAGCAATTATTACCTCCCTCCTGATCTCTCCTCACTTTTCCTGCCTGTGTCTATATACAATGCTTACTGACTGAATATGTTTCCTCAGAGAAAGTCTTGAATTCTAAGACCATCCGTTCTAATAGCAGTGGCCTCTCCATCGGAACTGGTAAGTAGCAATGTCTCAGGTACCACTGGTTTTCTGAAGAGTGGGTCGTTGGGTTAGAGTTCATGTACTCTCCAAAACTAAAGGGAAAACAGAAAATTTCTTTAGGAAATGAGGTATATGTAGTGATTAAGAGGAAAGATACTATGTTGGTGAGTTTCACAATAAGTCATGACTTACATTGTGGCCTGGGTAGAGTACATTTTTTGCCTTCAACATATATGGAAGTAATTAGTGGCTTTCTCATACTGTAACTCGTGCTGATCCTTTCCTTACTCTCCTAGGGGCCATGTGTTCTCTCTGTCCTTTGCGCCATTGTATTCTCTGGGGTTATTCCATTCTATAGAAACCGTCCTTCAAAACAGGCTATCATAGCCACACATGGTGGCACACACCTGTAATCCCAGTGGCTCAAGAGACTGAGACAGGAGGACCAAGAGTTCAAAGCCAGCCTCAGCAAGAATGAGGCACTAAGCAACTTCGTGAGACCCCGTCTCTAAATAAAATACAAAATAGGTCTGGTGATGTGGCTCAGTGTTTGAGTGCCCCTGGGTTTAATCCCCAGTACCACCACCACCACCGCCCGCCCCCCCACACCAAAAAAAAAACAGGCTACCAGAAATGAAAGTCAACTAAACTTTCAACATAGTTAGGAAAACGAACCAAGCCAGGTGCGGTGGCACGCACCTGTAATCCCAGCAGCTCGGGAGGCTGAGCCAAGTGGATTGCAAGTTCAAAACCAGCTTCAGCAAAAGCAAGGTGCTAAGAGCTCAGTGAGATCCTGTCTCTACATAAAATACAAAATAAGGCTAGCGATGTGGTTCAGTGGTTGAATGCCCTTGAGTTCTACCCCCATTACCAAAAAGAAAGAAAGAAAAATGAGCCTGAGTTTTCTGATAATTTTCCTTTAACTGCTTTCTCCATGTTTCTCTGTTACTTGGGACTATCCATGAAATTGTATTTTTGTATTTTTTTTTATTCATTAAATTTATCCATATTACCTAGAAGAGCGTCTGGCAAATGGAAGATGCTGTGTGAATATTTATTGATTAAATATGTCATACCCTTCCATTGCAAGGAAGAGTGTTCCTTGTTTCTTGTTCCATTTATACAAGAGTGAAAATGAACAGCACCTCCAAATAGTCTATAGTTTAAAGTATAAAAAGCAAGTTTCAGCAGACTATGTACCTTTTTATAAAGTTTATTTTTATTTTTTAATTTATATTTGCCGTACTAGGGATTGAACTCAGGGGCACTTTACCACTGAGCTGGCATCCCCATCCTTTTTATTTTTTATTTTGTCCAGGCTGGCTTTGAGCTTGTGATCCTCCTGCTTTAGCCTCCCAAGTTGCTGAGATTACAGAAGTGTGCCATCACACCTGGCACCTTTTTATGAAATTTTTAAACACACCAAATAAATAATATATTGCTTGGGGCTGGGGTTGTGGCTCAGTGGTAGAGTGCTCGCCTAGCACGCACGAGACACTGCGTTCGATCCTAAGCACCACGTAAATGTAAAATAAAGATGTTGTGTCCACATAAAACTTAAGAATAAATATTTTTTAAAAAATATCCCTCCCAGCTCTTGAGAGACTATTTTTTTAAAAATGAATAAATAAATAATATATTGCTTAAAGATACATTACACATATATTGATAAAATCTTTTTAAGAAGAAATGACATATATAAAATTCATCAAGGGCTGGGGATGTGGCTCAAGCAGTAGCTCACTCGCCTGACATGCGTGGGGCGCTGGGTTTGATTCTCAGCACCACATAAAAAATAAAGATGTTGTGTCCACCGAAAACTAAAAAATAAAGTATTAAAAAAAAATAAAATTAATCAAGAGTGATTTCATCTGGGTAGGAGGCCAGAGAAGGAGGGAATTCTCTATAGACAGATAAAATGAGTGTCAGAGCTTTCAATGACAGTGGGAATGTTCCATCTGTGCTATCCAGAAGAATAGCCCCTAGCCTCATGTGGTTATAGAGTGCTCAAAAAGTGGCTAATGTGACTGAGGAACTGAATTTTTAATTTTATTTAAATTTATTTACTTATTTATTTTTAATTTTTTATTATTAGTTGTTCAAAACATTACAAAGCTCTTGACATATCATATTTCATACATTTGATTCAAGCAGATTATGAACTCCCATTTTTACCCCGTATACAGATTGCAGAATCACATCGTAATTTTATTTAAATTTAAATGACTACATACATTTTTTTTCTTAGCCAGGAATTGAACCCAGGGGCACTTAACCACTGAGCCACATCCCCAGTCCTTTTTTGGGAGGGTGGGCACGTACAGGGGAATTGAACTCGGGAGCACTTGGCCACTAAGTCATATCCTCATCCCTATTTTGTATTTTATTTAGAAACAGGTCTCACTGAGTTGCTCAGTGCCTCACTTTTGTTGATGCTGGCATTGAACTGCAGTCCTCCTGCCTCAGCCTCCTGAGCCGCTGGAATTACATGTGTGCACCACAGCTCCTGGCTCCCAGCCCTTTTTATATATTATTTGGAGACAGGGTCTCACTTAGTTGCTGAGGCTAGCTTTGAACTTGCTGTCCTCTTGCCTCAGCCTTCCAAGCCACTAGGATTACAGGCATGTGCCACTGCACACAGCAGCTGCATACAATTAAAGGCTACTCTATTGGATAGCACAATTCTACTTTTAGTGATAGCATCATGTATTTATTTCATTGTTAGCATGAAAAATTGTATATATATTAAAATGGTCTTCTGTTTATCTCACATGTAACATAATTCTTAAAAGCCACTTAGAGTAAAAAAACAAGCTTCAAGAGTTTATGTTGGAATCTACATATCTAAAGCTGCTGGAGTAGGATCCTAGTGTAGCATAGTAGTCAGTCCTCAAGCCAGCATAACATGGGATGATGATAAGCGATCCTTTACATTTAACCTTAGAATATATTATGAAGAGTTATTTTTATTTTTTGTACTGAGATTGAACCCAAGGGTGTTTTACCACTGAACTACATCCTTACTCCTTTTTGTTTTTTATTTTGAGACAATCTTGCTAAATTGCTGAGACTGACCTCAAACTTGGAATCCTCTTTTTTTTTTTTTTTTTTTAAGGAGAGAGAGAGAATCTTTTTTTTTTGTAGATGAACACAACACAATGCCTTTATTTTTATGTGGTGCTGAGAATCGGGTCCCTCCCGCCTGTGCTAAGTGAGTGCTCTACCGCTGAGCCACAATCCTAGCCCCGGAATCCTCTTATCTTAACTTCCTGAGTCTCTTGGTGCTACTGTACCTCGCTTCAAGAAATATTTTTTTAGCTTTGGGCAAATTTATTTTCTTATATTTTTCTTTGGCCCACATCAAAATTCATTTGCATTTCCTGAGTGCACATCAGCTAGTCTTAATTATAGTAGCTTGAACCAGCCATATTTTAAAAATACATACAAATAGTCACACATGCCTGTAATCCCAGCAACTGAGGAGGCTGAGGCAGGAGAATTACAAGTTTGAGGCTAGCCTCAGCAACTTAGCAAGGCCCCATCTCAAAATTTAAAAATAGAGAGGGCTCAGGATGTGGCTTAGTGGTAAAGTGTCCCTGAGTTCAATCCCTAGTAGAAAAAAAAATTTTTTTTTAAAACATACAAATAATTGGGGCTGGGGATGTGGCTTAAGCGGTAGCGTGCTGGCCTGGCATGCGTGCGGCCCGGGTTCAATCCTCAGCACCACATACAAACAAAGATGTTGTGTCCGCCAAAAACTAAATAATAAATATTTTTAAAAATAAAATAAAATAAAAATATACAAATAAATAATCATCAAAGAATTTAACACTTAGATGAATGTTGAAGAATTCACCATTTGAGTGTTTCCCCAGACAGGGAGTTGCCAGTGGTGAGTTTATCTGGCAACTTTAAGAGGTGTTTGACTCAAATGTTTTTGTGAACTTCTTTTTACTTTTATTTTTTATATAATATGGAACATTTCACAAATTTGCATGTCATCCTTGTGCAAGGCCATGCTAATCTCTGTATCATTCCCATTTTAGAATAGTGGTGCTAAAGCAAGCACTTAAACTTTTTATATGAGGTGAATGTCAGTGGAGGAAGCTGGAGTCCGAATGTATTTGTTAAAGATGCATAGTAAGCATGAGCACTCCATCTAGTGAACTGTGTTTGAAGGGATTGTTGGGTAATGCATTATAATATTGATAATCTGTGAATATAGGATAAGCAAATTCAGAAAATAGAAATGAACTTCAGTTATGAAGATCCTAACATAAAGATACCTTGTATAAAAACTTAACAATTTAGTCTCAAATATCTGACTTGCACTATAGCCATTCTACTTCATGCAACTCTTAGGAACCTTTCCAGGGGTAAGTGGGACCATTAGAAGCTAAATCTTTATTACTTCATAGCAAAGCTCTATACTTCTGTGCCATTTATCTGTCAGTGGTTCAGAACTCTAGCCCAGGAGCTGGTGGCGGCGGCCCTGGTGGTGGTGGCGAAGAGGAGGACAGTCAGCAGGAATCTGAAACTCCTGACCCAAGTGGAGGCTTCCGAGGAACAATGGAAGCAGACCGAGGAATGGAAGGTTTAATCAGTCCCACGGAGGCCATGGGGAATAGTTGTGGGGCTAGCAGCTCCTGTCCTGGTTGGCTTCGTAAGGTAATTCCTTTGGAAGATATACCTCAGATAAAATATATATATATATATATATATATATCCATCCCTTTGCAAGGACTGGAAAAGAGATCTCAGGATCTCTTGGTTTACCTTGTCCTGTTAAACTGTTTTGTGGCAAGAATCTAGGTTTCTGATTTCTACCTGGAAAGAAATCACCAAAATGTTAATTCCTTTTTTCTTTCTAATAAAAGTGATAGAAAACATCCTCATATTTGTATTATTTAAATAGACTGTACATTAATATATAATCTACTTAGAAGGCAGTTTTTGTAGTGCATGTGTACAAATACTAAGAAGTTCATAGATTTTTCTTCTCTTTTTAAAAGTGGAATATTGGGGCAATTGGAATGCCTTACAATAGAAATACAATTTATCAAAGTTGAGGTTCAGATAGTAAAAATGATATTGAAATATATTTATTTTTGTAGAAAGTTAATTAAATATGTAACACAAAAGAATATGAACAAGACTGTATAGTGATCATTTTGACAGTGGTTATCTGGTGAATTGCTGGTGGTTTTTATTAGCTTCCTTTGCCCATTTGTATTGTATACGTAAACATAAAGTTTGTGAAGTTTAAATTTTTTTCTCAAAAAAAAAAAACAAAAAACCTACAGATTTAAAGTTCCTTAACCAATAAGACTAAACTTGATAGTTATTTGAAGATAAGCACAGCCTCAGCCATAGTCTTTAGCAGTCTAGCAGTTAACCTTACTGTCATCACCTTCAAGCCTCCCCACTCATTGAATAGCCTGTGCAGAATTAAGTGTGTTGGAAATGCACCAGATACTCCAGACTGTTCTTGAACTTGAGTCTGAATTTGCATCATTGTTACTCTACCACTGAAAGGTTTGGTGGTTTTGTTCCCAGTAAGGGTGAGCTATGTTGCTAACCACAGCTAATCTGCCCCACTAGAGGGTGCTGATGTCACAACAGAATGAAAGCTACAGCAAAAGTAAGAAGGGAATTTGAGAGAAATAAAATTTCTGCAAACAATTGATGAGATTCTTTCTCATGTACATAGGAGCTGGAAAATGCAGAATTCATCCCCATGCCTGACAGCCCATCTCCCCTGAGTGCAGCATTTTCAGAATCTGAAAAAGATACCCTGCCCTATGAAGAGCTGCAAGGACTCAAAGTGCCCTCCACAGTTCCTCCAGAGCACAAGTCCCCAGTGGGAGCCTGGGTAACAGCTTTTTACCTTGAATTGCCAACTGAGTAGAGTAACTGCAAGCTTTGCCTGATCCTTCTGGACTCACTGTGTCCCCTGGCTTCCCTGGTCTTCTGGCTGCCCTGCATCCACTCTGTACTCTTCTGTCTACTAGTCCTATAACTTTCCACCCAAGGCTAAACTGAGCTGCCTTGGATCAGTATTTTACCTGTTGCATTTCTGGAAGATTAACATCTTTTTACACTGAGCATTCTCTTTTCTCTCTGCCTCAAAAGTACCAAAATTGAAATTCTGGAATTCTGATTCAATTTTTTATGATACTGCTAGGATGGGTTGGAAGCTGTAACTATAAGAAGTAATGCTTGAAGTGCAGGGCGGGAGTAACAGGTGCACCCAGTCTCAGCAGAAATGAAATTGTGGTAAATACTTCAATAAAACTGCAAACCAAAAAAACAGTAGAATGAGTCAGACATAACTTTTCTATCCTCGTATATAAATGCATGACCAGTATAACGCCCCATCAAGTACAACCACAAGAATGGGAAGTTATATTCCATGTATGTATAATATGTCAAAATATTCTCTGTTGTCATGTATATCTAAAAAGAACAAATGTTTAAAAAAAATTTTTTTTAAAGGATATGGGAAAAAAAAAAAATTCTGAATGGGAAGGCAGCAAACTTTTCTATAGAAGGCCAGGTAGTAAGTATTTTAGACTCTGCAGGCCATTCAATCTCTTATAACTATTCAATTCTGACATCACAGCACAAAAGCAACCCCAAATACAGGATGGGTATCTTTTATCCAAAATGCTTGAGTTCCAGAAGTGTTTTGGATTTCAAATTTTATCAGATTTTTGAATATTTGCGTGTACATAATGAGATCTTGGAACTGGGACCCAAGTCTAAACACAAAATTTATATTTCATAGACATTTTATACACTATTTTATTGTGCCTGTTCTTTGATCACTATCCATCACATGAAGTCAGATGAGGAATTTTTCATAGGCATCATGTCAGTAATGCCCAAAAGTTTTATATTTGGGAACATTTGGAATTTTCAGATTAGGGATGCTTGACCTATATACATAATGAATGAGCATGCTTGTCTTTCAATAAAACTTTATTTATAAAATAGGCAGTAGGCCAGAATCGGCACATGGGCTGTCATTTGTTGACCCTGGCTGTTAAGAAAGTACAATAGAAGAAGGAAGAAAATTCAGACTAGGATAATTGAAAACCTTCCCAGAAGAAGTAATAAAACCTTTGAAACTCGATGGTGAATTAGCCTTCTTGAATTGTGCTGGCAGTCACACCTCTCAAATTTTTCAGAGTGATCCACTATATTTCATAAACGTTGACCCTTTAGATCACACTGTCCTCCACTGTGATCAGAAGGACTTGTTCCAAACTAAATCATGCACTTTAAAATTGTTTACAGAATCCTTCAAAATAGGTCACTGTTCTTTTACCTTAGCCTAGTAGAGACGAAGGTGCTGAGAGTTCCCTTGTTCTGTCAGTTCCGGGCACTATGTAATCCCAGCACTTTTCTTTTTCTCTTAGACCTGTTCTTGTGTGTATATGTTTTATCATCGTAGTTTAAAAGTAAAATCTGTTTGCATTGGGGAACTATAGCACCTGAGCAGACTGTCCTGCAATCTTTCTTTCTTGTCCCCAGCCATCACGGCTGAATCCTGCAGTACCATGTGCTGGGAAGGGAACACCGTTGACTCCTGCCTGTGTGTGCAGCACTCTGCAGATGGAGGTGGAGAGATTGCAGGGTTTGGTGTTAAAGTGTCTGACTGAACAACAGAAGCTCCAGGAAGAAAACCTCCAGATTTTTACACAACTGCAGAAGCTGAACAAAAAATTAGAAGGAGGGCAGCAGGTGAGAGCATTGAAAGAATTCTGAGTCTTTTTTTTTTTTTTTTAATCACAGAAACAAAACACCAAGCACTGGATACATTAATTCTTTTGCAAGTCTGTACCTTTCATGGTGTAAATTTTGTAATGAATCCCAGAAGCATTGGACCTTGTTCAGGCACCTGGATTGAATCAATTTCATCACCTAACTTCCACTGTGTGTGTGTGTGTGTGGGGGGGGGGGGGGTTCCTGTTTGTTGTTTGTTCCTATTTGCTTTTTTCTTTTATTATGAAAGATGTTAAGCCTCACATTTCCTAAAATAAAGATATTCATTGTCCTAGACAACAGTATTTTTATTATCACACCTAAAAAATTGACACTAAATAAATATTCTCAATTTCATGTAGTACCCCACTGATAATTTGAAATTTTCCTAGTTTTTCCACAAAAATGTCCTTTATCAGACTAGAATTGAGTCAGGAAGACCACATTGTATTTGATTGGCCTTGTTTTAACCTAGAACAATTGCCTACACCACTATCACTACTTTAAATAGTTTCATGATGTTGATTTTTTTAAATAAATTGGGCCAAATGTTTAAGTGTCCCATGTTTTAGATCTGTCTTGTTTCCCTAGGGTATTATTTAATTTGTTCTTCTTTCACTGTGTCTTTTCTGAAAACTAGAAGTTGGATTTAAGGTTTGGTTAGATTCAGGTTAAATGGTTTGGGAAAAGCGCTTCACAAATGATGGTGTTTGTGCTGTCTTTAAAGAGCCCTGGTATTGCTGCATATAGACTGTACTCTCTAGGAGTGGAGAAATAGATTCAGCCCTTGGCTTTGTTATTTATTAACTAAATGTGTTTGGACTCATTACTTTGTTTCTCTGAGCCCTGGTTCCTCACCTAAAGAAGAAAATAATATGGCCAACTCTTGCCTGCATCCCCCGCACGGGGCTACTATGAAATATCTTCCTAGCAGAGTGGAGATAAAGGTCAAGTGCTTTGGGCAATCTATTGCCAGGGGAGAGCCATGGAAGTTCGAGAAGCCAAACCTAAGTCTCCCTGGCTACCATACTGAGAGAAGACCTTCATGTAACTCATGGATAGCTTCCTGCAACCCATCCCATATCAAGGGTTTTCTTTATTTTGTTTTTTGTTTTTGGATTAAATGAAAGAATGCCTCTGAAAGTATTTTAGAAAGTAATATATACATTTGAGGTAAGATTGACAGCTCTAGTAGGCAGGAAGATCATTTTGTCCAGGACTGTTTCGGTTTTAAAACAGAGTTCTGTGTCCCAGGAAACCCTGTGGTCCTAGGCAAACCACAGCAGTTGGAACCCTGCCTGCCACAAATGTAAAGATATGGATATTTTCCAAGTTAGTGCCATGAACTTCCTACAAAAATGTGGATATAAACATTGAAAACAGTCCTGAATTGCTGGGACCCGATGGCACTTTTGCTAATATAGAACTGTTTTCTCTGGACAGGTGGGGATGCATTCCAGAGGAACTCAGACAACAAAGGAAGAGATGGAAATGGATCCGAAGCCTGACTTAGATTCAGATTCCTGGTGCCTTCTGGGAACAGACTCCTGTCGACCCAGCCTCTAGTCTCCTGAGCCTATATTGCCCCCAGGAAACTGGGATCCAGAATACTTCACAGCACACCTACCGAACGCAGAGAGCAGCTTTCCTGGCTTTGTTCACTTGCAGACAAGGAACGTAAGGCGGAGGCTCTGAAGCACTTTCCTAGTACATTTGGAGAGTGGCATTGCCTTTTAGATAGGATCTAGGAGTGATTTTATTGTTTTGGAGAATGGAAGGGCCCTGTGGCCCTAGCTTTGTCACCAGTGACTGCCATAGCAGCAGCAGCTCCGTACCTCATCTGTTGATCCCCCCTTTGAAGAGGAGACACGGTGCTCACTTTAATCGCGCTGGTAGCAGCTCATATCCCATTTGTCATTTTCATCGTTGATCGGAAGCTGCCATGGGAATTCAGCACCAGGCATTGCACCTCTGGGTGGGGGAGGGAAAAGTGTGAAATGGGGGCAAGCTGGGACCATGTGTGGCCCACCCAGGTTCCTCTGGAGAGTGGCAAAGTATTCTGAGCCCTCTCAGGAGCCCAGAGTCCAGGAAAATGTCTGGTGGAGTCAATCTAGGGTTTGTTTTCAGAAAGTTCAATTACTTCGTGCAGCTAAATGCTTTAGGAGGAAAAGTGGGCTTAGAATGCTTTTCCTCTGAGGGTTGATTGAAATGTCTTCCATGAGGAGTAGACAAAGGGCAGGTCCCACCTCATCACACTGCTGGAGTTTCAGGCTGTGGCCAGTGCAGGGTGGGATTTCCCAGCTCTGAAAGACGCCTCTGAGAGAAGAGGTGTCTCAGAGGGTTCAGTGGGGGCAGTGAGAAGAGCCTTAGGAAAATCACAAGGAGTGCCTCCATTAGTGCCACTGCCTGGTGTCTGAGAGGCATCAGGGTGACGCTGAGTCTTCTACACCTGGGAAGCTTTTGTGCCTCTGCCTTTGTGGCTCTTCGAGGCCTAATCCCTTCCTGTATGTTTAGTCAGTATTTTTCCCCTTTTTGGTGTTTTTGAAGCCATGTCATAACCAGTGAATCTGAATCATCTTTCTTACTTGAGTGGCCCAAAGCCAGCACCAAACCCTGGAGGTCCCAGAAGCCTAACAAAACAGATCGAACCTGCCAAAAGAAAGGAGTTTGGCAGTGAGCTCACTTGTGATGTGCCTTTGTAGACAGGAGCAAGAGAAATAGTGTCCTGGAAGAACAAAACTCCATATAGATAGTTCTAGGCAAGTGTTAGATGGTGCCCATGAGGATGTAGGCTTTGGGTTTCCACCAAGCCTTATAAAGTGTTCCTGTGGTAGTTAGGGTCACAGGAGCTGATTTGATGGTCTTACGTCCTTCCTCCCTACAAGTCACAAATAATTTTGTTTTCAGAAACCAAACAGATCTGTTAAATATTGCAGGAGGGCCTGTGTAAGGGAAAATCTGCCGTTTCCCTAAAATTGGTGGTATAAAGGCTGGCGCTCAGAGAAAGTCTCATCTCTGGGGATGGGCAACTCTGTCCAATGGGATCCTCTTTGGTTTGAAGTCCCATTGTTTTCTCAATTCTGAGAAGAATAGTACATTAGTACTAATGTAGTCACTGAAGCCTTTTCCTAAAATAAGGGGAAGGCCAACCCTGAATTAAGGTTACAAGGTCTGAGGGTTTGCTGTAAACCCTGACAGCTGGTTTCGGTTCATCATAAATGCAGCATTGGTTTCTCAAGGACTGACTGACCTCTCAATGTTCCTGCATCCTGATGCTCACCATTTCAGCAGGCCTGAGCAGCAGGGCTAGTTTTGGTGTTCATCATGGAGCTGGCTTCTGCTCTGGAGCTAAGGGATATGGGTACGTTGCTGAGACTGTGGGGTGATGGTAAGTGTTGAAGGGGGCTCAAAGCCCTTGCTTTGTTTCTAGAGGAGAGTCATTCCCTAGCCGTGGAACGCATTGGTCAGTTTCTCTAGCATATTTCCTAGGGAAGTCTAGGTTTGCTAGTAATCTGGATGAGAACCTGAGTTCTGTGCCTTAGAGACAATTGCACTTTCCCAAATTGTGCCTGGGACAACATGATTTTTCCCACCAAACAGCTATGCAAACAGAAACCAGTTCAGAGGTGGCAGCCATGCGTTGGAGAGAGTGAAAGTCAAGACAGCAGAAGTGCCTTTGAATGGTTTCCTGTAGCTGATTCCCCCCTTTGTCCTGCTTTTCTTCTTTATGCGGTTCTAGGTATTGCTTTTGAGTTACAGTATAACCTGAGTTACTCTTCTATGCTGACACTGTTGCAGAAGAACTAGCTTATTGTTAGCCAGATGCTGGAAAGGTTGAGGGTGGAGTGGTTTGGCATTTCTGTTTTAAATAAACATTTAAACTCTCAATTAGTGCTGTGCCTCAGTAAGCCTGCGCATGGCCACCATCACTGGAGATAAAACACCCACATTCTGGATCTGAATCTTTGATTCCATGAATGTTTATATAAATAAATAAGTGTTCTTGTAACGGGAACAGCACAAGGAACACTGCACAGAAATAATCTCTGCTGCTTTTCCATATCTTATTCTTGCCAACAGAATCATTTCTGCTATTTCAACTTTTTTATGAAAACTTTGAAATGACAGTGCTGTAAGTTCAGAGGAAGAAAAAAAATAAGTTATTAAAAGAATGGTCCTTTCCTGTACTTGCCTCCTTAGTCTTGTGGGGGCTTTTCCAAGTGATCATTCCAGTTTCTGTGTATAAAATTTTTCCCTCAAAGAGGCTGAGCCATATTTGGTCTCCCTGGCCTAGCACAGCCAAGTGACAACTGCTCTTGGCTAAGCATTTTGCTGAAGTCTAAAACTCAAATTTCATTTGGTTCATCATCTATTCAAAAACATTCCTAATAGGACAGTTCCAAAGCAAGGATGTATTTTGGGCAAATTCATTCAATGCAGTCTCTGGGCCTCCAAGAAAGTATTAGAGATGGTAGCGTCAGAGCATAGCAAACAGTAAAACATGTCCTTCCTGCTGCAAAGCCAGAAATCATTTATTGCTTTAATGTTTAACTAAGGAAATAAATGTACTGATCATTAAACCCCCCAGAACCATGAACATAAAGAGAAAAGCTCAACCGTCAAATCTCTGCTACCTCTTGGGTAGTGTGAAGAGTCATCAATCACCTGAAAGCAAATGTTGACCAGAAGGTGCCGTCCTGCATGAAATCTGAAGAAATACTATCTCTGCACACACTTATAAATGAAGTGAATTTCCATGTGAGTTCCACCATGAGATTTTTCCCATAGCTTAACTTTTTGAACTTTTAAAATTTATAATGTTTACTTGGACTAAAGTTTCCTGGATAAAGTAATATAAAATATAGACATTTACAGGCAGCATTTTTGTGTCTTCTCTCATCCTATCCAGGAAGAGACTTAGAAATAAAGTTCTTACCTCTTCTCCAAATCCAAGTCAAGCTAAATTTAAAAGACTAGTAAGTGAATAAGCAAGGTCTAAACATATAGAGATCAAAGAGAACACCAGGCATTGACTATTTTTTTATTTCTTTGGCAATTTAAGAATGAATTACTACTGCATCCATGTCTATAGAAAGCACTCTCTACATACATATTCATAGTTGATGGGTTTTGAGGACCTTAATGACCTCATCCAGGGATCCCAATCCCAGGTGCAAGGAGGCAGATGAGGCAAGTGACACAGGCCCCACCTGCTGTCGCCTCCACTGACGGAGCCACGTTTTCTGAACCCCACCAAATTTGTCATTAGGTTGCTGGTTCGGTGTTTCCAGTTTTTCAAGAGATGTTCTGTATTCCAGTTTTTAAATGTCAGATTTTAACACTGTGCAGCCAAATAATACACAGCTGTGGGACAGAACTGTCCATAGGCTTCTACTCTGTAACCATGGCCACAGCTTATTCTTTGCATCTATTGCTCTTAATATCAAGTGTGGAACTTAGTGTATTCCTCATTAAACTTGCCTGGGAAATGTAAATATTGGGTTAAGTAAATATCCATTGTGCCTATGAGCTTTCCTTAAGGACTCACTGATCTTTTTATTTAATTTTTTAAGTCCTCAAAACCCTTTAATTGAGGGCCTAACTTGCACTAAGCACTATTCTTCATAGAAAATTAAAAAGATCTGCTCCTTTCCCCTTCAAAGTTTACTCTCTAAGATAGAAATTGGACAGTGCTCTAGTCAGCAAGGACATGTGACACTATACACAGTCCCAGCTTACTTTGATAGTAGATTTGTTGACTCAGAGTCATTCAGGCCAGGTGTGGAGGTCACCACATGCCTGTAATCATAGCTAGTAAGGATACTGAGGCAGGGGGATCACAAGTTCAAAGCCTCAGACATTTAGTGAGACCCTATTTAAAATTTTAAAAATAAAAAAAAAGAACTGATGATGTATCTCAGTGGTAAAGCATCCCTAGGTTCAATCCCCAGTAGCACCAAAAAAAAAAAAGTCAACAACCTGATTTGATAGCCAGAGGGCTAGCAGCTTCTTCCTTTTTCTTTTTTTCAACATATGAAACCCATTAGAATAAAGAACAAGTAGGGAGAAGAATAATGAGCTTCCTACCATGGTACCCTACCACCCCTACTCTGTGAAGTAAATAAAGATGTTTCCTTTATTATACAGTACAACACAGGGAAGGTTTAGGACATATTCATGCCCTAACATCGCATACTTTTTTTGGCATTTGGCCAGGACCATGCCCCAGGGAAGCCAAGGATTGATTTCCATTAATAATGCCTTGTGGCTGAGACTGTGGGGTGATGCTAAGTGTTGAAGGGGACTCAAAGCCCTTGCATTGTCTTTTATAAAAGTTACCAACTGGGTGTTCATGGTCCTCTGATCCCAACTCCTCTCAAAACTTCAACTTCTTGCAAGAGCCAGAAGAATTAACAGAAACCACACACATACCATGACCAAAAGGTACAACCAAATACAGGCACTTCACTAGTACAAACCACAGTCTGGCTTGCAAGAAGACAGCTTTAATATAGGCTACTCGCTGTTCTGTGTCTTCACCCATCAGTTCCTAGGGCAAAACCATAAGGCAAACAGTAGAGATTTTAATTTAGTGGGAAGCTGAGTCTTCCTCCTGCCTCTTGCAGCCTAGCATTTGCTCTTATTGTTTCTGGTTCTGCAGGCAGTTCTAGGTGATGTCAAAGTTTTCTTTTTATCTTTATATCAAATTATTCTACTTCTGTTCATTGCTGTAGTAGAACCTTCTTAACTACTCAAGGATGTTTCCACTATTGCCTGCTCAACTACAATGCTTCCGTGGAGGTGGAGGACGGTTCTTAATGGTCTTACACTTGGGAATGTGTCGCTCAGCCACTTTGGGAGCAAAGTGGCGGCTACAGTGAGGACACTGAATATAGTCTGGGTTTTCTGCAGGCAGGATGGTATGCAAGTCTGAGGGTTTTCCACCTTTGGCAATTATCTGCTGGATCTCCCGTGCATGACGGAGGGTATGGATGAAAGATTCGTGCTTCTGCCTCCAGTTGTTCTTCCGAGGAGGTTCAACCTATAATGTAAAAAGAAGACTGGTCCTTCAAAGTAGTGTTTGTCTTATCTCCTTCCTGAGTCTCCATGTGGATGACAGTAGGAAATAAAAAGGGTGTTTATCTACATGGTCAAAGAGAACAGAAAAGGAGCAATTGTGATAACTCATTTGTCAGAATGGAGGCATAGACCAAGGGCCTGCAAGGGAATATAATACTAGGAGGCAAGTCATTCTCAGTAGAACACCTGAGAGGATCAGTGCTTGAAAGAACCAGGCAAAGGGAAGCACGGAGATACAGGGATGAAAACATGCCGGACCCCAGGGCTCCCCTCCCTTTGAACATCCAACACTCCCAATAACCTCACATAAGAACAGGGTTTTTTTCCTCTGGAGAAATTGAACTGGATGGATTTCAGACTCGGGAAGTCCAGACAGGGTAGAGAACAGGGTTAATCTTGGGCTTGAAAATGGAGACTAGACTAAGTGCAAGGATATATATAGCAAATTGTGCAACTGTCAGCCTCCACCCCACAACTCAGCTCCCAGAGTAACAATCACTTTTGTGTTCTCTTAGGGAAGAGAAGCGTTCTCTGAATGCACCAAGCAGTGCAGAGAAAAGCCTCCAGACTGACCTTGGGGCACCCAATTATAAGATTCTGCTTGATAATCTTAACAAGGCCCCTAGTCAACAAGGCCTATGTAATCATAAATATGAATGGACAGCCAAAGACCACTAGATATTTGATGAAAGCTCTAACAAGGAAAAGACCCCCCCGCAAAATGTAAAATAAAGAAAACCTCAGGAAACAGCAACAAGAAGAAAACTTTTTACAGAAAAACATCAATAAAATGAATCTTAGAAGAGAATGTGTCCATAAAGGAATCTATTAAAAACCAATGACCCTAGGCTGGGGATGTAGCTCAGTACTATGGCATTTGCCTACCATGCATGATGCTCTCAGTTCAATCCCTAGCACCACCAAAAAAGAAAGGGGGGAAAAAATCAGGAACAATCAGAGAACTAGACCTATTATATATGAAAACTCTCATAGCTAAACCTAAAAATGAAGTAGAAGTGTTATAAAATAATGTCAAGAAAATTCCTTGGAATGGGAAAAAAATTCAAAATAGAAAGTAGAAAAGATTAGAAAACAGGAAGTCCAACATATGGCTAACAGGAGTTCCAAAAAGAATAGAGAAAGCACAAGGAGAAAACTATCCAATAAATAATACAATTAACATTTTTAGAATTGAAAAGTACAAATCTTGAGACTGAAATGGCTTACTGTGTATCCTAGCATAATCATCATAATTTCATCTGTAGTATTTTTTTTTTCCTTTGGTGGTTCTGGGGATTGAACCCAGTGCTTTGAAGTTCTGATAAAATCATTCTCCACTTAGAATTCTGTACCCAGCTAAATTGTCAAATAGGAGTCTATTGTATAGATATTTTCACTCATTCCAAGACAAAAAAATTTACCTCCCATGAACATTTCTTAGCTTTCAAAAGCAAGAAAAAAGAAGGCAGAGGATACTGAAAATAGAGGATCCAACACAGAAGAGAAGCTAAGAGAAGTCCCCCCAAAAAACAGGTCTGCACCAGGCCTGGAAAAGAGCCAGTCCAGACTGAAGCAAGAGGAGAAAGAGTAGAGGAAAGGGGATTTTCAGGAAAATAAAACTGGTGCTAACGTTATGAGAGGTGTTTGACCACTTAAGAAAACATAAACAGATGTCTGACATCAGATGGATCTCTTAGGAAAAATAAACTAGAGATAGACATGTAGAAGATGAAGGAAATGAAAACATAAGTCAGTTTTTAACTCGAGGTACATGTGGACGGGGCAAAATTTGTTCTCTCATCAGTGAACAAAATGTAGACAGTCAGATAAAAAGCCAACTAATGAATAAAACCCAAAATAGTGATTCAGCTACAGTGAAGGAAAAGGGGTGGAAAAAAAGTAAGGGCAGTGGAAATAGGATATTCTTATGGAATTTGCAGTTCCATAAGAAATCACCAGATAATGCAGAATATTGGAAAATCAAGAAAATAATCATTTAGGATATGTAAATATTCTAAATATGATATGCATATCAAAAGAACCATGTAACAGAAATGAGGGCTGGATGAAAGGTCAGTGAAGGATACCACTGATCTGCACTGTAGATGAGTACTATATGATTTTTTAAATGCATGCAAATATTAATTGAAATTAATCTTTAAAAGAAGAAAAATAGAGGTCAAAAAGCTGTTGATAACATTGAGAAATACTACCAAAGAAAGAGAAAGGATCCATTAAGAAAGTCTCTTACAGAAACAGAGAAGGCGGCAAAAGAGTCAGTGTTAGAGATGGTGTCCAGGGACCTTAAAGAGAATTCAATTAGGGGAAGCTTCCCTAAATATACAATATTATCTTTTAATTATTTATCATAATTAATTTTACTCAACACTGTAAGCACAAAACACAAAGATGTGTGTGTGGTTCCTGTCCTCAAATGCTTACCTTCCAGTAGACAAGAGATACAAGTAATATAAAGATAAAAGGATATCCGGAAAATCATTTGTTCTTGGGAGTGCACTAGAGGAATGACAGCTTCCAAAGGCAAAGTGGTCTGGAATAAGCCTTGGGGCATTCTCAGGAGTGGGTCCATCTCAATCCTGTCTTGGGGTCCTCAATGCAACACATTCCCTCAAATTTTTTTTCACAAAGGTGGGGCATCTTGACCTCAGAAACCTAATTCTTTTGCTTCATTGCTACTATATTTAGGAATTTAAGAAGCACAAGATTCTTTTAGGTTGTGGCCAAAAATAAATTGCTATGGTGGGACAAAGGATTCCCCAGTGGATTACTGAGTTAACCAAAAAGAAAACAAGAAAGAACAGTAACTAGCCATCCTGTCATTTGCTGGTGCAAAATGTTGGCTTTGTGTTGGAAGCTATATTTCAGGGAGATCATCTTTTCTGAGAGAAAAGAACTTGAATACATCTCTTAATGGCCATCACATCAATGTGAGTTTTGGAAGGGCCTCAGCAAATACACACATAAACTAGTAGATGAGAGAGGTGCCTGCACAGCAAAGAAATAAAGACAGAGGACAATTTCATTTTCCTAGAACATTAGAGCTAAATGGGGCCTTTGAGATCAATCGTATGGCCTAGGATCTCCAACGCTGACAACTTTGTTTTCTTTACTACAATTCTTTAAATTCATGATCCCCAGATATTATAATTATAGCTTAACATGTTTTTGTATTTTTCTAATATTCACAAAAACTAATATACAACACTTTGTCAGCATGCCACACTTTTAGAAATATTCATATTACAAACCAAGTTGTACAACCTTGACAATCAGGTTATTTATGAGACAATCTCCTCCACATCTGTCCAAATATATCTATGAAGTTCCCCTGAACTTATATGTCAGTGTTTTGAAGCGCATACATTTTACAACCTGGTTTTTCTAACAGGAGGAATTTTTTGAGAGATAACCAAAAACAGATAAACCAAAAGGTCTCCAGTACAAAAAAATAAAAGTCCCTACCTTCAAGGTGTTTACACTCTGAAAAGAGAGAAAAAAATTCAAATGTAGTTGTGCTTCTTATATTTACTAAGAAGCTAATCTAGAAAGAAAAGATAGAGCTAAAGGAGTGGTGACAGATGCTAGTCTTGGAAGGTGACAGCATATTGCCAAAAACAAGGAGCCAAGAAAATGAACATAAAATGCTTCATAGTTTTTCTTTGGGTGTTTCATGTTTTTAAAAAAGTTTCTGTGGTATAAACATGTACTACTTTTATAACCAAAAGGGCACCTATTTCTTTAATTCTAGATTTTTTCAGCCCAACCAAGATTTACATATTGGCCCTGCCACTTAAAGCTATGACCTCAAGAAAGTTACTTGACGTGTATGAGCCTTGGTGTGAGTGTGTGTGTGTGTGTGTGTGTGTGTTTGAGTGTTTAGGATAGGTCTGAGCCTTGATATCTGAACTGATAAAATGAGAGATAATGTCACCATCACAGAGTTGTAAAAATCCCATGAAAAACTCCTGTCATGGTGCCTGGCACATATGAATGCTCAACAAGTATTAATTCCCACCTTCAGCCTACAAGACACATGAGTTTTCCCTAAAGAAACCGGTGAGAACATAATAGGTCCTCACAAGGATCCATATACAAAGTCAAATCCACAAGGTTTTTATTACCTTGACTGCAGCTGGCCCCTTCCAATTCAAGTACTGCTCTAGCTCCGTGCCTTTAGCCCGGGCCCTGGAGGAGTCAAACACTTTCCTCTTGGAACCCTGCATCCTGCCACAGATGGCAGAGTGTCTCTCCAGCCTGAGCAAGAGAAATTTGCGTCCACAGTGGCTGCATTTGCCCAGTTCTGGCTCTTCATTGGAGCAGCTGGAACCTGAGGAGCCTGGTGTCCTGCATGGGCTAGAACTTCTTGTGGATCTCTCCAAATCGCTGCTTGGTTCTTCCAAAGGCTGAGAGAACTTTGCCACTAATGGCCCTGAGGCTTGGTCTCGGATTTTGTTGTTGCTTGCCACCAGCCTTTCCCTTTTAAGCCTCTGGATTCTATAATCAGAGAACTGGAATGAACTAAAAGTTTCTTGAGGCTGTCCCCAGGCTTCGTCCTCTCTCCTGTCTCTACTAAATACCTCTTCAGACCCAAATTGTGGGGAGAAAACAGGTTTGTATGTTGTGTTGCTGTTATCAACTTCCCTCCTGGGAAAGATCATTCTCTGTAGCCCTCTGTCTTCATTTCCCTTGGCCTGTTCTTTTACCTTCTGGATCCTTCTAAGTTCCTCTTCTATTTTCTTCAACTTTTCTCTCAGGAGAATCTCCTTTCTTCGAATTTCCTCCTCTAAGCTCTCCCCTGCAGCTTCCAATCTTTGGATCTGCAGCCACTCAGTCCTTCGGAGGTTTGCCCTGGCCTTCTCCCGCTGCAAGTCAGCAAGAACAGATGAGTTCACCCCATTCCTCAAATCAAAATTGCTGTCTGTAAATTCTCTTGGCTCAGGGGTTCTTAGGCAGACATTCTGGTCCCCATCAGTGCTGGCCTCACCTGTACTATGATACTTGCGGTGGACCATGGGTTTCAGTGGGTATGCCCGGTCCACCCCAACTCGCTTTTTTGTAAAGGGGATGAAGTCCTGGTCATTTGCTTTGGGATATCGAGATTGAGAACTTGGGTAAAGCAAACCCTTTCCTTGGCCCAGGAGATCACTGCCCATGTCTCGCTGGCTGATTCCAGCACAGTGGGGATAAGAGTAGCTCCGGGCTGGTGTGCGGGTGTTCCATTTGGGTTGAGAGTAGACATTATCCAGTGCCAGTTCTTTGTTGCTCAAAAGCTTCTGCTGAAAATTGTTCTGCCCCATCGAGGATCGCTGGGAAGAGTCACCTTGTTCATAAGGGTCTTGCTTGGCTGAGTGGAGCCCTGGAGCTTCCGTTTTATTATGTGGGAACATAACGCCCACAGGCAGATGTGGAGCCAACTGGAGACCAGCCATTCAGGGCCTGGACCGAAGCCTAGGGAAGATTTAAACCAGATACATGTGAAGAATTTGTTTGAGGTTCACTCCCGGCTGCTAAAGTAAACTGTTTCTACATTTGCCCTGCCCACATTTCCCTTTAAACTTTTCTAGGGACAGTGGAGCTGATTCTGCCAGAGATTCCCTTCAGTGAGCATATGGTGAGTGATGATCAAGTGTCAGACACTGTGTTAGGCCCTGAGGATAGAAAAATGAACATGATACAAGTGTTCCTGCCACTTAGGTTTCCTTTCCACCAATCCCAGCCTCTGCCATACGTTATTATGAAGGAGGTAAAACAGCACTGGATTGAAGGTCAAGTTTTAGACTGTGACACAGAACAACAACTTCCTCTTGCTGGCCCCAGTTTCTTCACCTGTAAATTAAACGTTTTACAGGTAAGAAAAATGAAACCCAGTGGCTTAGTGCAGAGTTCTCAGGGCTTTCCTCCTGATGGAACGGTGCAGGACTCCAAGAAGCACAGAAGCCACTAGAGCCTGGTTGTCAAATCCTTTATCCAAGGAGTCCCCACGGCACAGACGGTGGAAGGCCTGTAACTTGAGAGGTGGGGGCCATTTGACCTGGCCATGGCCGGGTTTGGATTCGGAACGGGAAGTTATGTTCTGTCCAGGAGGGTCAAGCGGGAATCCTCACTGGGCACTCCGCTTTGGGGGAACAAGACCTCGCTCTCCTGCTCCTAAGGCCCTCCGGAGGTCAAGGTGCTGACCCCAAGTCTCCTCTCCCTTCCCGGTACCTGAGGCTCTCGGCACCGCTCCAGCTCAGGGAAAACCCCGGGACCTAGCTTTGGAGACCAGACCCTTCAGCAAACGACAGCCGCGCAGGCGCTTTTAGCTGGCTTCTGTTATTCCAGTTGCCTGGAGACCTGAGCGCGGAGCGCGCCCCTCCTCGCCTCTCCCCGGTAACTCCGCTTGGGAGGCGCGCGCAGGCGCAGTCTGCACGCGGTCCAGAGCGGCCGGGGCCAGTGGGGTGCGGTCGGTCTCAGTGTCACTTGACCCAGTGTCCAGCCAACTCTGCAGCTCAGTTCAGCCCTGCCCTTGGGAAAAGGGGGAGGGGCAGGAAAGGCTTTTCTGGGGCTCCATCAAAGAAGAACTTGTATTTTTCTGAGAACGATGCTCCCTGACCTTGGGGTGTGCCCGTCTCTGGCAAAGGGCGGAACCCCTAGATGTGCCCCAGAGTCATCCCGCCGCAGGATTCCGGTATCCGCCTGGTTAGCCGGAGTGGGCCTGCTGATAGCCTTTCTTAGCACGCTCGGCTGCTCTGTACGGGCCCCAGGTATGGCTATATGCTCTCCGTGCTTTCTTCCCTTGCCAGTACTTTGGAGCTTGCTGTCAATTTTTCTTTTTCTTTTTCTTTCTTTTTTTTTTTTTTTTTTTTTCCCCTACGCAGTCTTTCCGGGGTAGTTTTTGTGGCCAATCTAATTATTTTAATATTATAATGTTTTCTCTCACGTGGTAACTCTGGACGTCTCTACTTAGGGCTCAGGAATGACTCAGCCAAATGTAATGATAATAAATTTAACTACCGGATCGGAAATAATCAGGCATAACTTGGTTTCAACACTAAATGATACTCTAACTTTTTGACATCAGAAGAGAATTTATTTGTCTTCTTCATGCTTCAGTTAATTTGGGTAAGCTGTTTAGAACAGGCAGCTCACTTTTTCCCTACTCAAAAGATTCCAGCACATGGAAAACAATGTAGACAGCAGCAGTCGGTGTTAGCACTTCAGCATGTCAGATTGGAGCCGTCACATGTTAACAAATTTCTTGGTGGGCCCTCCAAGGGCAGTTCTTTTATTCCTAGTTGACTCTTCTTTTTTTTTTTTTTTTGGTACCAAGGATTAAACCCAGGGCCACTTAACCACTGAGCCACATCCCCAGCCCTTTTATGTATTTTTTTATTTTGAAACAGGGTCTTGTTAAGTTGCTTAGGGCCTCACTAAATTGCTGAGGCTGGCTTTGAACTTTCCATCCTCCTGCCTCAGTCTCCTCTGCTGCTGGGATTACAGATGTATGCAAATGGGAACATACCCTACTCTGCTTAGGGCCAGGTCATCTCAGCCTCCCCCTGTCTCTTGTCAACTTCCACAGCTTCCCCGCAAGCTAGTAGAATTTCCCAGCATGTTACCCTCCCTCTGACTGCCTTCCCTCTGCTTTCTGAGAAAGAAGGGCCTCTCTCCTGAATTTCTTTCTTTCAGAGCCCTCAAGGAATTGACTCCATCACTTTACCCCTCCATCTTGTTAATCTCCACAGGCTCCTTTTCTTCGGTGTTAAAATACATTAACTGTTCCCTACAAAACAAATCTCATTTCCCTTGACCTGTCATCTCTATGTTAGGATCCCACTCATTCCGCGCCCCCACACCCCTATGGGAAATGGAACCCAGGGGTTCTCTACAACTGAGCTCCACCTCCAGCCCTTTTAAATTTTGTATTTTGAGATAGGGTCTTGCTAAGTGGCCAGGTTGGCCTAGCGTGTCCTGCCTCAGCCTCTTGGGATTACAGATGAAGGCCACCACGCCCAGCTCCACAAGAGTTCTTAATGGAAAACTACATCTGCTGTCCCCCCCCCCCCCCCCCTCATTGTCTGTTCCACTGTGGTCTTGCTGCTACCCTCTCCAGTTTATTTAATTGCGTGGCTGCCAGTGACCTTCTCATGACCAAAGACAAGCTTCTCTTTCAAGCCTACTCACTTGACATTATTGATTAATCACCATCTTAGAACTCTTTTCACTTGCTCCTTCTTGGTTTCTTTTTTCATGTCTTTGCTCCACCTTCTTCCAGGTCTCTAGCATTTATGTCTTTTTTCCCACTTGTTCTCTAAATTTAGGTATTCTCCTGAGCCCTCTTTCTTACTTTTTACATATGTGCAGTTCCAGACATTCTCTTCCTTTTATCAAATGCTGAAATTTCAGGTTTCACCTATGTTTAAATGCTGTTCAGCTGAACTGTAGCCTGTCTCCGTAGTTAGAATTTTCCAACTGCCCATTTAACACCTGCACATGACTGAGCCTCAGGAACCTCAAGCTCAGTGTGACAGAACACAAAGCTCTTAATCACCTCTCCATCCCCAGTCTGCTGCTTCTCCACATCCCCACTCCTGCTCAGAGCAAGATTCACCTTCCACACCTTCCTTTTATCACCTCTTTCTTCTGACTGACCTGCAGGTTCTGTTGAGTTTGCTTCTCGAATGTCTCCCATAAGTAGCCCTTCCTGCCAGGCACGGTGGCAATGGCATATTCCTGTAATCCTAGCTACTAGAGAGGCTGAGGCAGGAGAACTGCAAGTTCAAGACCAGCCTCTGCAACTTAGTGAGACCTTGTCTCAAATTTTTAAAAGGACTGGGGATGGAGCTCATTGATAAAATGACTGTGGGTTCAATTCTCCTTACTGTGAATAAATAAATAAATAATGTCCCTTTGTTTGTTTTTAGTGCCCTAGTTGAGTTCTTCCATACTTCTCATTGGGATGCTATCACGCTTCTTACTGTTACACTTGCCTTTAACATCTGTTCCCAAATCCATCCTTCTTGATGCTGCCAGACTAATGAGTCTAAATACTTCTTTCTTGGCTTTATTAAGATTTTGTTGAGGGGCTGGGATGTACCTCAGTGATACAGCACTTGTCTAGTATGCATGAGGCCCTGAAGAAAAAAAAAAAGATATAATTGAAGTCAAGTATGCTGACACACATTTGTAATCCCAACTAGCCTGGCTGCTGAGGCAGGAGGATCACAAGTTCAAGGCCAGCCTAGACAACTTAGCAAGATCCTGCCTTAATTTTTTTTTTTTTTTTAAAGGGGACTGGGAATATAGCTCAGTGGTACAGTGCTTGCCTTGTATGTGCTAAGGCCCGGGGTTCAATGCCCAGTACTGCAAAAGAGAGAGAGAGATAATCGAGATAATTGACAGGGGCTGGGGATGAAGCTCCGTGGTAGAACATGTGCCTAGCATACGTGAGGTCCTGGGTTGGATTCCCAAGTACCACATACACACTTTTTATTTATAAATTTATAAATAAAAATTGTATATATTTATAGGGTACAATGTGATGCTTTGATATATGTATACATTGTGAAAGAATTAAATTTAGCTTACTAAATACTGATCCTATCATTTTCCTCTCCTGGTGAAGACTCCTTCACCCGTAGAATGAAATTGAAATGCATACTTAGCATGGCATTTCTATTAGGTCCAACCTATCTTTTCATCCCTGCCTCCCCTGAATAAACCCCAGCGTCTAGCCCAGTAGGTCTCAACCCTGGCTGTGCATTAAGATTTCTTAAAAAGCTGGGCACTGTGTAGCACATGCCTATAATTGCAGCAACTTGGAGGCTGAAGCAGGAGGATCACAAGTTTGAAGCCAGCCTGGGCAACTTAGCATGAAACCTTGTCTCAAAATAAAAAGCAAAAAAAGTACAAGGATGTAGCTTGGTGGTAAAGGGTCCCTGGGTTCTTTCTCCAGTACAAAAAAAAAAAAAAAATGCTCAAAGAATATATATCTTGGGTGAGGCCCAGGCATCCATAGTTTTAAAAGCTTCCCTAAAAGTCCTAATATGCAGCCAGGGTGGAGAGCCCCTGGTTTAGCTGTGGTGACTTCTTGTACTGTCTCCTCTCCGTGGTACCACCTTACCACAAGCTCCACAAACTGGGTGGTGGTAGTCATGGAATTTTGGGGAATGGACTCTGGACTGGCTGCCTGGAATCAAATCATCAAATTGTGGTCATGTAACTCTGGAAAACTACTTTCCAAGAACACTTTCCTAGTCTTCCCAGTCAGAATTACTCTCTGCTCCTTCTAACATTTTCTATCTGGTTCATATTGAGCAGCTCTCAGTAGGTGTTCATGGAACTGAATTGCCATGTCATGCATTGAATTATCATTATGTGCATGCATATTTATCCCTTACACTAAATTGAGGGCAAAAATTATTATTCATCTTTGTATACCATATGATGC